TTCCTTTCGTCTATCCAGACTCAGGGGATAATCACTTCTATTTATACACCAAGTTTTGCAACCATGATGTATAACTTTTGCAACACTATACATATACATTAAGTATATGTATATGTGATCTCTTACACACTTCAAATAAGAGGCTCTGTGGCCGAGTGGTTAAGGCGGTAGACTCAAGTTCTACTATCGTAAAGATGCACGAGTTCGAACCTCGTCGGAGTCATTATTTTTTTATACTTTCTTATATTTTTATGTGAAGTGGCTTGAGAATATATTCATTGATTTTACTATTTAATGCCTTATTGGCCCTATACTTTGAGAGTTGGTATGAATGCTGAACCGTATGATATTTTTGGCAATTTGTGACTTCAAATTATCTAGTGCTAGTAATTGAGCTGTAAGCAAACTTAGTTGGGTTGTCTGCAATTGTTCATTATGGTTAGCGGAAGTATGGTTCCTCTGAAATGTGACTATTTTGGAGGACAAACATGTAATTAAATTGTGCATTTTTATCTCTTGCTCGAGATTTCTCGGATCGCTGCCACTTGGTCTATGTTGCAAATACTCTAGGATGCTCTCGACCTTCGTATGTAACTGGTTAACAGAAACAGACAACTCTTCATTATACTTGTCTAGTTTAAAGTCGTTATTTATGTCATTAACATCTCGTGATATCTCTGATGAAAAATAATTCGAATGATTCACTATAGTAGACGTAGCAATATTTTCCGTTTCATTTGCCAATATTGATGTGCGAAGCGATACAGGCTCATTCTCGTATAAAAAGCTCTTGAATGGTTCAGAATCTTCCGCATTATGGAAACTACCCATATTTATTAATGTCAATACTACTGGCGTCTCGCGTGTCCATGTAAGCCTTTGAAACGCCTGTAGCTGGTTTAAAACAGACACTGTAGCTGAATTAGGAACTCGCTCATTAATTAATTGGTAAAACCCTACCATGGAATATTGCGGGAGAACTGCCTTAAACTGGTCCAATCTCTTCTTCAAAAACTCGGTATTTATATCTAAGTCATTATCGAATAACAATTCAAACGATGTAGTCACTGTGATTACTGCCTTATCAGTTGTTCCTAGTAAAACGCCGAATTTGCTTTTCTCGCGTCGAGTTATATGATCTGAAATATTAAATAATGCAATAGAATGTACCTGAACGGTATGAATATCAGACATATTGATTATCTACAACAAAATCCAACACCAATTATTGTTCCAAAATATCAACCTGTCCATGCTATATCTTCCTGATGTAAATGATGACGACATTGTAAATTATTTGAGACATTTGGGTGCGACATTGTGTGCGGCTTTTTTTTTTCTTTAATACATTTTATGAAAAGCTGAAGACCTCTTCCCTCTTTCATATTTCAACAGACAGATTCTGACAGATTCTAGGATAGTAAATATATATTGGTTAATATATAGAAATGATAATGTCTGTACATGACCCACTTTCTAGGAAGCGATCTATATCAAATCCTAATGGTCAAGAAGGAACTGCTTCTAAGAAACTGAAAAATGAAGATGATGCCACAATGGATAGGAACAATAATACTGTGTTCTCTGAAAAGATGTATCATACGTATGTAAAGTCTGCATTGGAATCGTTAGATAAGGTATGTATTTGGATTTTAGTTGTATGAATTGTTAAAATGTGAAAATGAACATGATTGACTAACATTTGTCTAGAATGATTCCTTACCAGTTGATAATTTAACGTCTAAGATTAGTTTACCCATATCCCACAATCAAGCAATATCCACTTCTAATTTCAATATAGTGTTAAAGATATTGATATCGAATGTTTCGAGATTGGATAATAGCTCGTGTAACAATTTAGTATCGGCCATACTTGAATATAATTGGCTTGGAGTGAAGCCTACAAGTGACTCTGACGGCACATATTTTACATTTATAGATTTATATTCACACTTTTTGTCCGTGCTAGTGTCTTCATTACCTAAATATTTGCATGAAGTAACAACTAAGTTAGTTAGTGAGTTTATTTCGATAAACGTTAATGAGAACCCATCCGCAAATCATCATATCATTTTAAATAAGATCATCAAGTTCATTCCAACAAGTGTTAATTCACTTCCTGCAACCTTACAGAAGAACTTTCCACATCATTTATCTTCAAGTACGGAAGAATTAACGAATTATGTTGGTAATTTAATAAAAATATTGACTTATTGTCTGGAATTACAATACGATATATGGCAATTAATCATTGAATGTTGCATCAAATTAGATGTCGAGCTACAAAACGAATTAGATGATCTAGATGATGATGAGATTGAGGAGTTAATTAATGGCGAAGAGGACGATGAAGAGAGCGACAATGACGAAGAGGATGCGAATGTAGATGGCGCTTCTGACATTAACAGTGATGATGAAGAGGAGGTAGTAGAAGGTGAATTTGAGTATATTATTGATCCGGTAACATCAACGGTAAATACTAGAAAGCTTCTGAGAAAGCTCGATTCAATCATACACTTACTATTAACAAATACATCAAGTTCGTTTACAGTTGATGAATTGAATAACGGAAATGGAGTGTATTTGTTCAACACTATTACCTCATTATTTAAAACGCATATATTACCAACGCATTTCACTAAACTGATACAGTTTACTTTATTTCATATTTCCCAATATCAACCCGAATTGGCTGACTCATTTTTAGTCTTACTTATAGATGTTGCATTTAATACAACGGAAATCTTAGAAAAGAGATTGAAAGCTATGCAATATATGTCGTCATACATTGCCAGGGCCAAGAATTTATCGAGACATCAAATTGTCTTTGTTGTTAGTTATCTTATCGGTTGGTTAAATAAATATGTAATCGAAAGAGAATGTGAAATTACAGATTACGACAATGATAATAAAGGAAGAAGCACAAGCAATAAACAAGGTGGTGGTATGGAGAGATTTAAATTGTTCTATGCTGCTTTTCAAGCCCTTTTGTATATATTCTGTTTCAGATACAAAGTGTTGTATAAGGCACCAGGCTCGACTGAATCCTCAAGTGACTCTGAATGGGAATGCGACTTAGATAAATTTTTTCAGAGAGTTATCATTGCAAAATTTAATCCTTTGAAATTTTGTGACGAAACTGTTGTATATATCTTTGCTAAGATTGCTACCAAACTAAATGTTTGCTACTGTTATTCAATCATTGAGCACAATAAGAGGGAAAGAATGTTGCAAACAAATGGAACTAAGAATTTGCCTTCTGCTGTTGGTAATTTTAAACAGAAACAAGAGTTTCTTGATTTGGAAGCATATTTTCCCTTCGATCCTCTAGTATTACCTACATGTAAGGTTCTAATTGGTGAAAACTATATAGAATGGTCTGATGTGAATCCTAGCAACGAGGATGAAGACGATGACGAAGATAGCGGTAGTCATCCCGAAGAAGGTTTATCAGATAGTGATAATGATAATATGTCTAGCGATGAGGATGATTAAGACATGTTTATATCTTTCTTTAATAAACAGAATAATTAATTAATATGACCGAGTAGATTCCTTTTTACGTTCCCTTGTATAATTAAAAGATTCTTGAGAAATAAAACCAAAAACTATTTTCTATGCGTACGAATCAAAGTATTATATCAAGCAACAGGACGATGTTTTGATGCAGAAATTACTATACTTATAACTACCATGGTTTCTTCTCGAATGGAAGAGGTCACTTTGGATTATAAAAGAATCATCCGAGAGTTATACCAGGTAGATGCAAACACTTAAAAGAATTTATTCATCTCAGGTCAAAGTGTAAGCAGGTTGGTTCACTTTCTAGAATATTTAAATCAAGAAGGCCCTAATTACGCTTCGTACTACTGCTTCCCACAATTTAGTATGATGTCCTAGCAAAAAATATACCTTCCAGAGGCAGTTTCGAATTAGACAAAATTTTGATAAACGCCTTTCAAACTTTGAATAGGATAGTATTGCTTTGCCTAAATTGGAGACTACAAGATATCTAATACCATTGAGACCATCATAGCATCAACAGCTAGTGAATATCCTATAACGGCCTTCAAGATCTTGCGTTTCATAGGTATAAACTACTTGATGGTAGAATTGATGTCAAGATGAATTTTCGAGACGTTTTTAAAAACTGCTCTATTGAGCCTACCTGTTGTTTATTATTCAACACTTTCGGATTGGTTTCAGAGGTGAAATACTATATTGACACTAAGTTTAATATGGGTTTCAATGTTGATTCTGATATATTAATTGTACGAGACTGGAAGGTGCATTGCACGATAAAGAATCATTGCTCGATAATACCCTCTAATAAGCGTAAAAAGACTGTGATAAAGAGTTTGAGCGGACATTCTACTCAAGCCCTCATGAGGCAATTAATTACTCAGATAGTTTATTACAGGATAACTACAGAGGTACTTACAGATGCACCCAATGCATTTCTAGTGGAAACAACCGTTAATTATTTTGAGAAATAAAGACAGCCAAGTAAGAAAGGGTGGCATAATAAAATTTTCAGACATAGAATAAGAAACCAGAGATTCACTAGAGACAACAGAGATGCATCTACCGACTTATCTTCAATTGGTGAAGATGTCGATGTAAATAAAGGAGACGAGGTACAGAAGGAAATAAATGACAGAAGAATGTAAACTACAGAAACAAAACGAGGTACATAAGATAGAATAGCTAGCTTTTAATCAGACGAAACTTATGCGCATGCAAAATGATGATGTTCATAATCCAGCTCGTAAAAAGGTTTCATCATGATAATAATAATTGAGTTATATAAGTATATATTCTTAGCAATTTATATATACAAGGAATGAAAAAAAGAATGAGAGTGTTAGGAGTGCTATATAGTGCTTTCAAGGCTTAATATAGGAATAATACTTGTCTACTAATTACGCTAGTCTCTAATAGTGATATCTTCAAAATAAAAATATAAAGCCATTCAAATCATTTGGCCGCGATTTGACTCGTTGGAGTATCTATCCTAAGCATATCAATATATAAAACCATTATACAGTTTATTCCAAGTATTAATCTTAAGAACGTACACATTCACTAAAAACCTCTATTGTAATCTTTAAAAATAAATTCCAAGGCTGCCTTATCCGATTCCTTGTTGATTTCATCAGTGGATTGGTTCTCTGGAATTGAAGATGCAAAATCAATGATGAAAACCTTGCCCTCTTTCGTGTAGAGGATGTTAGCTTTCCGTATATCTCCATGAATGATCCCATTTCGATGTATGATTTCCAATTGGTTCTTAGCCTTAACGTATGTTTCTGTATCTCGCGGCATGGTAGCAGTTTCGATAAATTTGAATAAATTAAAGTTTCCTTTGGCTAGATAATGATTTTCAACAGTTACTTTGATGTATCCTCTTCTATGTTGCACGTAACAGCTATTGAATTCGGGGTCGTTCGCTAATATTTGGCAAAATAGCCGTTCAGAATTATAGGCATTTAGGCACTGTTCCAATACTTCTTTAGGGCTCGATACATATCCATAGTGGATTGTGTTTGCCATTCTAGTATCATATATTTTTGCTACCAATTTCTCCTTATCGTCCACGGGAGAAAGTAAATATTTCTTCATATAATAAGCTTCATACTTCACAAGTTGTGAGCTAAACAATTCTCCATTTTGCATGTATACATCGTCGGCCTCATCAAAATCTAGCTGCTGCTCTTCTTCTATCCCTTCGTCTATGATGGGTAAAGGTTCAGATATGTCCGTGTCTCTAGTGCTTGGACGACTACCAATTGAGCTTCTGTCACTACTATACTCTGTGGCCAGGAATTGCGCCTCAAACTCCTCAATAGTATTGCGTAAATATTCACGGAAAATAAGCATTCTCTCCTGCTTAATTTTTAAAGCATTATCATCCACAATAGCCTTGAAGAAAAAGTGCATGAGCCCTTCTCGTAATGTCGGTGCAGCAGATCGACAGTTCAACACCTTGTACCTGAGTGGTATAACCTTTGATCCTTTGTGGCCTGTAAGTATTTCCTTGTACTTATCAAAGTAATCAAGATCTATTTCAACTAAAATTACATCATATGCATCCGTAAGAACTCCCATATTAGTCTTGTGGTAAACCATCTGAACGATTAATTGCCTCATAAAGGCAGGAATTTTATCTTGACTCATAATACCTGCTACGATGCCAGTACTATTTTCATTATACTCCGACAACATCTGGTATTTTTTAACTTCTATTGTGCAAAACACCTGCTTGCCTCGGGCAATCAAAATATCAGGCCAAACATGAAATTTCACCTTATAGTCTGTAGCGACCGCATATTTTACCTCTGCATTTAACCGAAATGCTTTTACTAATAACGAGCATATAGGATCGACTAAATAATCCTTAAAATGCGCTTTGTAGGTAAGCTCTTTGTCAAATTCTTGCTGAAGCAACATATAATCGCGAAATGCAAAATCTTGAAGGCCCTTAATTAGCTTCTCAGTATTTGACAGTATCAATATGGCGTTAATTGTGTTCAATATTTCGTCGTTACCAATTTTGGCAAAACAATCATTATCATATTTAAAATTTGAAAGAGTTTTGTCAAACTTATTGCATGATGCAGAGCTACTGTTGCTGGTAGACTTTCTGGTACTTCGAATTTCATACTCAAGCATCGGAAGCGATGATACAAACCGTAGTAGTTTCTTTGTAGGGCTCTCTTGATTTAAAACTTCTAGAAGATAAACCAAGCCGTTATACTTCGACCTGGGATCTCCTTCTAGAATGAATTCTTGTAATCCATTTCCATCTATTTTGAATATATCTCGGATGATTGTTTTATATTCCAAAGGTGACCCGTTCCATGTGGGAAAAAAGTCATGGTAGTTATAAGTACCAGCGATTTCTCCATCTATACACTTTTCTGCCGCTTGATATAAAGGGTGGTGTTGTACTATCATTCGATTAAATTGCCCATCTATTTGTAGCCAGTAGTACAACAGACCTTACTCGAATGAATTTGGAGATATTTATACCCAGTGCTTATTCTGTAATACCAGAAATGTGGTATGCTACTTGTATGATATGCGCTTCACTTCTCTAACAATTGCAACCTTGAAATTTGAAACACTTTAAAATCACCGCATGTAATCTCATACATCTCGCATATTATTAATTTACTCCTTCACTTCTACCATAGATGAATGAATTGGAGAGACATGAACATTATCTCTAGAATAAAGTCTTTATAATAAGAACTATATTTTAACGTTATAGTCTTGGATAGGTTTTGTGTAACCATCAATAACAGATTATTATGTTAAGGATAGACACAAGATCAATAATCTTATGGAATTAGTATATTCATAAATAGATGTGGGACAGCCAAGAAATAACAGTCATTGAAAGATTTCACTCGTTAAAATATCTATACTAATGCATATTGATATATTTGCGCTACACCATAATACAAATATTAATTATGGAAAAAAATGATTCCATCGAGGATCGAACTCGAGACCTTCTCTGGGTGAGAGAGACGTCATACCGCTAGACCATAGAACCATTTCTGATTCTTTGTAAGAGAACATGCCCATATATATATGTGTTATACGTACAGTACCTTGCAAGGTATACGTCTTGCAATTACAGCCACGATTGCAAAACTATAAATATGTGGAAGAATCCCGGTAAATCTCAGAATAGAGGTTAAGGGAATTAGGACCTAAATAGAGAGTAATTAGTTAGTTGTCAATCTATAAGTNAAGTTAAAGTTAGATTAGTAGAATCTACATAGTATATCAAGTGTTAGTAGTAAGAATTACCTAATTTGGACCCAGTTCCCTTACAGTCAATGTAAGAGATCACATATACATATACTTAATGTATATGTATAGTGTTGCAAAAGTTATACATCATGGTTGCAAAAGTTGGTGTATAAATAGAAGTGATTATCCCCTGAGTCTGGATAGACGAAAGGAAGGAAGGAAATTAGGAACTAATTATAGGTAGTTAAAGTTAGTTAGTTAGCTAAGAATAAAGTAAGTAAGTTCTATTTGGTCTATTAGAANATATATATAATATACAGATTATAAGTATAAGTAATTACCTTATTAGTACCCAGTTTCCTTACAGTCAATAGTGGAATTGAAAGTAATATCAATATACTTCAATACTATGATGCTGGAATTAGTTACCATGATTTCTTATAATATAATTACATTATTACAAAAATAGGGATATAAAATTCTAATTGTTTATTGTTATAGTAATAAAACATTGGTATAAATAAGATGCAAAGTGACCTAGAAAAATCGAAATAACCGGAAGAAATCAACCTGATGAAATATATACTGCATTAGTACTTTTGGATATGCAGCAATTCTTAACATTCAGCAGCTTTTAAAATCGTAACTTCAACTTCTTCACATTGGGAACCAATGCTTTGATCGTATAAGTTGTAGAAGTCACCAGAGTTACACTTATAGAAAGTAGTTTGGCTACCTAAAGCTAATTTGCCAGGAGAATCGGATCTCTTACTGTTGGAAGAACCACCAGATTCAGATGATGAATCAGTGTAGTCACTTGGAACAATCGACCAACCAGCGGCGTATATAGTGCCAGCTTGTGGTGGTGGACCATCGAATTGGAATTGGTGACCAGCTACAATTGCACCAATTCTGTCCTTGCTATCTCTCAATACACCATCTTTCAAGGTGACAGACAACGAGTCAGACTTGATACAAGTCTCGCCATTTTCAGTACCAACAGCCTTGCTATCAGCAGCACCAGTTTGTTGAACTTGGCCGTCATTGACCTGACTAGCCACATTGGCAGCGGTCTTGTCGGCAGCAGCAGTAGCACCAGGTGCCTCTTGACTTTGAGCAGCGACTTGACCGTTAGGAGATCCAGTTTGTTGTTGTTGTTGAACTTGGCCATCACCAATTTGGTTCATAACATCAGCAGTCTTACTTGGGGAACCGTTTCCACCAGCACCGGCTGGGGCGCCACCTGGAGCACCAGATCCTTCACTACCAGATCCGGAGTCTGAACCTGATCCTGGAGTAGAACCAGAACCTGAAGCACCACCTGGAGCACCAGATCCTTCACTACCAGAACCTGATCCAGAACCTGATCCTGGAGTAGAACCTGAACCTGATCCTGAAGCACCACCTGGGGCACCAGAACCTTCACTACCAGATCCGGAATCTGAACCCGATCCTGGAGTAGAACCAGAACCTGAAGCGCCACCTGGGGCACCAGATCCTTCACTGCCAGATCCGGATCCAGATCCTGGAGTAGAGCCGGAACCTGAGTCACCAGAGCTTCCACTATCCGAACCTGATCCTGAACCTGATCCTGAACCTGATCCTGAGTCAGAGCCCGAGCCACCACCTTGTTGAATCTGACCATCACCAAGCTGGTTTACAACATCAGATCTCTTTTTCAATGCTGCTGTTTCTCCGGTTGGAGCTGAAGCACCAACATTGCTTGCTGGTGTTGGTACTGAAGCAGCTGCACCGCTTGCAACTGGAGCAGCAGAAGCTCCAATATCTGCTGGTGCTGTTGGTGCAGAGACGGCTGCATCACTAGCAACCGCTCCTGCAGCAGCAGAAGCTTCTGGTTCATCTGCAGCACCACCAGTTGGAGCTGCTGGTGCAGCACTTGCTCCTGTTGAGCCTTTTCCGAGTGTCTTAATGGATAATGCGAATGATCCATCATAGTTACTAGATGCACTAGCACTATCAATAGTACCACTAGGAGTCAATGTTGACCATGGTTGAGATGGAACATACGCTGCATGCGTCAAGACAGCTAATGAAGTTAAAACTGATAATGAAAAAGTTAACTGCATGATATTTAAAAGTATAATTATCGTGAGCTAATTATAAAAAGATAATACACCCTTAATAACTAATAGGATATTACCATAATTTATACTTTTCTTTGCTTTATTCGTTCTGTATATACAAACCACTGCCATCGAACCAATTCTAGTACTATTCACGTAGTATTCGACTAGTAGTGTTTTTAATTCCATATTAAGCAGGTTTGTTGATCACTAACACTGGGTTTTTCGCAACCTCGCTCAAAATTCGAAATGCTCATAATAGGCAAAAAAGCTCTAGTTCACGGTACGGAGCACATTTAGGGTTAAGCAGCCATTGAAATCATCTTAATTTGAACTATTCTAAATGGTCTAACTAATAACTAATGGTTTCATGAATAGAGATACTGGTGACAGCACATTGTATGATGATTCAAATTGTATACCCTATCTAATTAATAGGGAAGCATTGCACTTACTTCTCTTCATCGACTAGCATTGGGTCCATATGTTTGGCATTTGGGTAGAATTTCGAGATATATGTAGGAACATGTGCCAAAGCTATTGTTTAACTTATTCACTCAAAAAAGGTAAATTAGTTGTCCCAATATCTTGACAATAGAGTTTAAAAACGTCGCACTTACCATAGGATTTGTACCACTTACTTATGAACAGCCTCTTCAACCAAAAATGTAGGCGAAGTTCATTTCGCACAATGCTAGGCTATACTACTTTCTTTCCTCTGTTAATGATTTCTGGTTTGAGAATGAACGTTTTGACTAGTTTACGTTTCAATCTAAATATTTACCATAACAAAAACAAAAAAACAAAAATAATGCAACTGTATAGCCTATTAGTGTTCCCTACATTTTCTAGAATTTATGTTGCAAGAATATATACTGGACACTAAATTCGTCTGTAGTTAGATTACGAAGGTGTTTAGACTGCGTTGATTTAGGAGGAGAATTCAATTCTGGATCTAGAAAAGCTACTAGCTTGGTTGTGTCTTTCGCAACTAATGAAAGAAATCTTATAATATGCACTTGATCAGTTTTACATTGTGGAGTCTTTCTAGAAACGGCCTAAACATCTGCACTTTAGCACTTCTCTTAAGTCTAACGAAAACAAAACAAGACAAATATATGATCTGAAAAGAGGTCCCTCATCTCCGGATCCCAGGAATCTAATTACCTATATCATAGCCTTCTTGAGGAAAAGCATATGGATATGCTGTCTATATCCGCTCCACAGCATGTCTTAAGCAATATATTCCGAATATACAGTCGTAAATAATAGTTGCTTTACATTGACATGGGTTACAAACTTTCTCCTTTTCTATTTACATATTTACGTGCCCTAAATACAGTCTTAGCCTATGCGACACGGTACCGATTTGTTCTGTACCTGGAATCATGGCTATAATCCTGCGAGATTTCGCCTGCTTCTATTGGGGCTTTACAGTTCAAAAATTCAAATCAAGCAATACGATTTCTAGAATGAGTGAATATGAAGTCCGCCTCAATATACTCGAGGAAAAAAGGGAATAAAAGTGGCTTCGAGGAACGTATCGACACAATTATGAACCATATTTCCGAAACAAAATTATAAATCGGGAAAGCTTCGTTCCTCATGGCCCAATGGTCAAGGCGTCTGGCTACGATTTCGTATCCACTTCTCGGTTGGAACCAGAAGATTCCAGGTTCGACTCCTGGTGGGGAAGCTTACTTTTTTTTTTATTGCGAATATTATGCATTAATTAAATAGGTCAGAAGTATCTATATTATTATTCTTTTTCCTTACTCCAATGTAATACATTTCTCTCAGTTCATCCCTGCAAGCTGAAGGCTTCATTTTGAATACTTTATGAAACATTTTTTGTAACTTCTCTTTTAGTAAACTATCTTCCTTTCCGGTATAAAATTTCATTACCATGCTGCCATTCTTATTCAATAACGCACTTGCTAGTATCAATGCCCCATCACATAACTCCATACTAGCAAAATGATCATTATCCTTGATGCCAGACGTGTTAGCCATCATGTCGCTTATTATTAAGTCAACAGGTTTTTCTTCACATTCACTGTGGCTTTTATTAATATTAAAGAATTCTTTAATATTGTTATGTGTCTTCTTAGACAATATATTTCCTTGTATGAAGCTTGCTCCTTCGGGTGGGCTACAATTGATTAAGTCAACGCCTATTATATTAGCATTAATGTTCAAAGATTTGGTACGTTCAATCGCAACTTGGGTCCATGCACCAGGCGCAAAGCCTAAATCCACTATATTTTTAGACTTTTTATTGAATAATCTATATTTATCATCTATCTCGATCAATTTGAATGCTGCTCTTGACCTAAAGTTCTGCAATTTGGATTCCTTCGTATGCGAATCTTTTTTTTGGCGATTTAACCATCTAGACGATGAAGCCGACTTCGACTTCCATCTCAGCCCTACTTTTCTAATGAAAGATGCATTACCCAATGATGTTGGTATAATTCCTCTTATCATTAATCTCTTTCCTTGTATACGGAATCGTAAGATATTCTTACCTACTCGAAATCAATTCTATAACTTTGTATCCTGCATATTAAAACATCATCTCTTCTCATAAATTTTTCATTAGCTTTATATCATGGTCATACCAAAGGTTTATTACCTTCAGATTAATAATGCCCCAGGATATATTAAGTGTATTAAAGGACAACCCCCAAAATGTATTTGGGTTGTTCAAAGCAGAGAGTCAACAAAACTCTGGATATTTTAATGAGTTAATCAAAACATTTTTGGATCCTATAACGAAGGAATATTCAGTGCTAGATAAAATTTATGTAGACGGATTAGATTCTACACAGGTGTATGGACAAACAAAGATTGTATTAGAAGGAGCATGTGAAGATTTGTTGTTTGACAAAATACCAAAATTAAAATTAGAGCATAGCTTGATAAACCATGATAGCGAAGAGGAAGCTTCTGACGAAGAGAACATGCAGCAGCAAAATGAAACGGATGATCAAGAAGAAGAAAATGAAAATGATAGTGATAGTTTTGATGATGTAGAAGGACAAAATGAAGATGATATCGAAACCTTAAATGAAGACGATGAAGAATCTGATAGCCTTAATGGTGATGATGTTTCAGAGACAGAAACACAAGTACCATCAGAAGACGAAGATGTTCATCCTCCTAAAAAAGATGCATTTGGGTTGAATGATGAATTCTTTGATATTGATGATTTTAATAAACAAATATTAGCATTGGAGAATACTAATAATGCAAATGACGAAGAAGAAATAGACTTTTTTGGTGATTTAGATGAAGAAGAAGATGATGATGAACAAATGGAATACTTTGACGATTTTTACGACAAGCCAGGCAAAGTAAAAGCATCAAAGTCTTTGGGGGAGAATGGTCTTCAAGGAGAGAATGAAGATGAGGGGAATGGTGATGAAGAGGATGAAGGCGAAGGAAATATTGAAGAGGATGAAGAATTAAATGAAAATGAGTATGATAATGCTGTTGGGTCAGCAATGTTAGATTTATTTGCAGATGAAAACCAAAAATCCAAGGATACAGAAAATTTATCGTCATACCAAAAGCAACAACAACAAATTCAAGCGGAGATTGCTGCACTAGAATCTGAATTGGTAGCAGATAAAAAATGGACTATGAAGGGCGAAATAGCGTCTAAAGATCGTCCTCAAGATTCGCTATTAGATGACCCAGAGTCTGCAAGTTTAGATTTCGATAGAACCTCAAAGCCAGTGCCGGTTATCACTCAAGAAGTCACAGAATCAATAGAAGATTTGATTAAGCGTAGGATCAAAGAAGGCGAGTTTGATGACTTACCGAAAAGAATTATAACAGACATTTCTAAATTTCATAATAGACAAAAGTTTGAGTTATCGGAACAAAAATCAAGCAAATCTTTAGCTGAAATATATGAAGATCAATATAATAATGTCGATGAAAATAAAGAAATATCCGAAGAATTACAAAAGCAACATGATGAAATAAGTGAATTATTTACAAAAGTTACTCACAAATTAGACTCATTATGTTCAGCACACTTTATTCCAAAGCCTCATCAAATGAAAACTATTGACATCAAGGTATCTGATGCTGCATCGATTAGTATGGAAGATGCACAACCATTGCATGTTTCTAACGAGACGACGTTAGCTCCTCAAGAAATATATAAAATTGGTGATGATAAGCCTGCAGCAAATGGTTCCAAAGGTAGGTCAGAAGTTTTGCTTAAATCTGGTTTATCCTATTCTAAGGACGAATTATCAAGAGAAGATAAACAAAGACTCAGAAGAGCAAATAAAAGAAAGAAGTCGAAGCACTTTAACGAAAGAAAGGAGTATCAAGAACAGAAACAGAAACAAGATACTACACCTTCTAATGGTAACAAGAGACAGAAGGTTAGTGATGTTGTCAATACTCTATCCAATGCTAAGAATGTCACAATTATTGATAAGAAAGGTGAACTTAGGGATGCGAAGGGTAATATTAGAAAATCTCAAAAACCTAAGGGTTCAAGTGGCTTTAAATTGTAGATCTACATAATTTTAATGAGTTAAACAATATACTTATAATAGGCATTTTTATTTAGATGTAGAATTATAATGGAATTTCGCAACCATTTGAGAATTTTGCGAATGTTTAAATTTAAAGAGAATTTATTTCTTGTGCATACTCCTATTTGAATGAAATTTTACTTTCAAAAGTTGAAATTATTTCAAGAATTAGATTTGTCAAACCCTCTTTCTTGTGCAATAATTTTCAATGCTAGTCTCTTTGAAAAGTATCTAGAAACAGCTAGATTACCACCCATATACCAAAAGTTTGGATGGCCTGAGTCTCTCCACATTGTATTTATTTCACCTTCATCATCGAGACCCCAAACAGGGTTAAGCTTATCAGCCACCTTATCACCAAAAATTCGTCTAGCAGTATCTTTCATATTGGAGTAACCAGTTGCCAATACAACAATAGCCAAGTTATCAATCTTCGTGCCATCAGAAAAAACAAGACCATTTTCAGTGAAGCGTTCGATATTTTTACCTTGTTGTACCTTAATTTTGTCATCAGCAATTAATTTAGAACAGCCTACATCAATATAATAGCCTCCGCCTCTTCTATAATATTTTCCAAATAAACCAGTTCCTCCATACCCACTATCAGCTTTAAAACCAGATTTTTTAAGTGACTCATGTAAGTCCTTTTCAAGAATCATAGTCTGTCTATACTGTTGCTGCATAACTAAATTTAATAATTTTACGGGCATGGATTGCAAGATTAAATCGGCTGTTTCAGTTTTTGGTCCGCCTTCCTCGTATAAGCCTTCAGTAGTGACTTTCAATCCAATTTCGGAATTAATAACGCATGTCGTCGATCTCTGAACTAAGATAGGCTTTGCTCCTTGTTCATAGAAATCTTGAGCAATGTCATGGCCAGAATTACAACAGCCTACTACTACTGCATTTTCACCTTGAAAGGATTTACCAGTAGAATGTTGCGATGAATGAACAATTGTTCCTTTAAATTTGTCCTGATCTTTAAATGTGGGAATATTAGGCTCTCCCGAATGGCCAGTTGCCATTACTATGTGCTTGGTTTTTATATTCGTCAATTTACCTGTATCATTGTCTATGATATTAACAGACCAGACACCAGTGTCTGGGTTGAAATCAGCTCCAGATACTGTTTTATTAACCCAATAACTTAATTCCATAGATTTTGCATAAGCCTCAAACCAATCACCTAATTTATCCTTAGGAGTAAATACTGGCCACACATCAGGAAATTTGATATAGGCTAAATGATCATACCAAACAGGATCGTGTAATACTAAAAATTTGTAACGATTTCTCCAATTATCTCCAATTTTACTATTTTTCTCAATAATTAAACAATCTATACCCATAGCCTTCAACCTAGCAGCTACATTTAAGCCACCTTGACCCCCTCCTACAATCAAAACTGTAGGAGTCTTATCGCTACCCCATTCAAAATCTTTCTCACGTTTTTCTAACCACGAAATTCTTCCTTGATTCTGGCCATGATTTACCCCCTGCGGTCTACTTCTTCCCAAGTTTTCTTCATTACCTTTAATATTGTCTAATGCAGTATATATCGTGAATGCCTTTAAACCACCGGGTGCATCGTTCTCATCAACTGAGATCAATCTAACAAGTCCGTTTCCGTAACCAAATTCGTTTTCAAACTTCACAATAATCTGGACCCACTGAATGGGAATGGGGTTGGTGTCGTTAGCTTTATGTATTGTCTGAAGTCCAACAGCCTTGTCAAACCTATGATCAGCAGTAGTGTCAATTTCAAAATTCTTTAACTTGAAAGAAGGAAAGGAATTCTTGGCCATATCCTTGATATTATCTAGATCATGGAATTGACGATAATCCCAAGATAAAGCTAGATGATCCTTCCATGATGCATGCGAAGCAATAACAGAGTTCAATTTATCTAAGTTTTTATCAGAAGGGTCATTCTGAATCTGTTTCACAATTGCATTGAATTCTTCAATCCATTTTGAGGCCAACTCATACAAATTTTTATTTTCAAGCTCATTATGATTTGATTTTAAAGTACCATAAACTTTAGAAGCCGGGATATCCAGATCAACGGGCTCGTAAGTCAATGGAGGATTAACCTCATCGGCCATATCAATTGTTGCAGCAGTTGCCATTTTCTTTAAAGTAAAACTAATAAAATCAAATATAAGTAGATAGCGTGAAAGTAAAGAAGCTTTTAGATAGTACTTCTATATTGGAATGAAAATTAATCTGTGTCTCGCAATCCAGGTGTTTAAATATCGTAGCAATTTGTGGGGTCGAACATAATATACTAAAGTTTAATTAATCTCCGAATACTCCACGGGTATACTCGTCGGCGATTAAATACAAGCACGCAGTAATTGTTAGATAATCGTTTAATCTGATCGTCGGTCGGATACTCATGATATGGTGAGGGGTGAAAATAAAGGGTAAGCTAAAGGAACAAGAAGAAAAGTCCGAACATGCAAGAAACATTGTCCCAAAAGTGGGAGAGAATAAATAAATACCTTATGTAGTATGCTAAAATAGGGGAATCAGCACATTGGTTGTTGTTCACTTCAGGAGCTTGCAACGTAGCTGAAATAAAAAATGTAAACCCCGGTGACCGACCCCATTGCAAGTTATACTAGTAAACTTGAATAAATGAATAGCCTATTCATAACATTAGAATGTTTATTGAATACTATACAAATTAAATAAACTATCAATATGATTACTGTTGGATAAGTATGATTACCTGTATTTCTAATCGTAGAAACAAAATCTGCTCAAAGCTTAGCAGACAGGATTTGTTAGCCCAACAGCCCAATTATAGGTACCCAAAACTAATATTGTCACAACATAGCTGCTTGCAATCGAATAAAAACCGTATCTATACGAATGCAGAGTATTCAAACCAAACAATTCAACAACAAAAGTACTAACAGTTGTTAGCGCTCCACAAAATCCATCGTCTAAACCTGTCAAAACATGACAGCTTAGAACATTGGTCACTATTTGAGATTGAGTTTTACCAGGTAGCTTTCCTCTTCCCAATAAAGTAAATATCGCTAGGAGTAAAGTACCCCACAAATTGGCGGTGAAAGTACCAAGTGGAAAATTCTTAACCTTAGGGTTTAAGTGCTTTGAGAGGAAGAAGCGAGATAACGCACCAAAAGGAGCAAAAAAACATGAAAATGTCCATGATCTCCAAGATCCATCGGATTTAACACCGATCAAGACAACAATGATAATGAATGCAGCCAAACCAAAAGATATCCATACGATTTCTAAAGTCCTATAAACCCTCTTACTTAAAATTGGCAAAATAGGGTCAATTAAATCAATGAGGTGCTTACCTATCTGAAAGCCGGTCAATGATAAACACATATGAGCTATTATCACTGCCAAAAACTCCATTATTCCATAGGCTGAATTTGGATAAGAATAATAATCGCCTGGTAAAGTGTCGGCCGACTTGTTGAACGCTTCTAGTATCACTGACGAAAACGAAGAAAGAGTTCCACAAAATCCCGTCGTGATACCTACATATACTCCAATTAAACCCTTGTTGGCATAATCTCTCGAATCAACTAGATGCCTCCATAAATTGACACTATCAACTGCCATGCCCATAACAATACACGCAGCGAAGTTGGCCCATATTACACCAGAGAGAAACGAACCGTTATAAGTTGTAAGTGCCATTAAACCTTTTCTACCAAGGACCCCCCAAATTGATCCACTGACTATCGATAGAAAACTAGGCATTATTCCGCTTGTCTTAGTGTAAACATCTCGTAGGTGTCGCTTGGTAGTATAGTTCTTTTCAACATTGAATCCTTCGGGTAGCGATTCTGATAGCGATTCTGCTTCCAAACTTTCTAACTCCCTATGTACATTTCGTCTCTCTTCCTGAACTGAGCCACCTCTAAACTCTAATGGGCTCGTGGAAGTATCTTCTGACATTCATATATGTAGCTATATCCTCATACTTTGTAAGCTTGAAAAGTACATCCGTTTTCAAGACACCTATTTGAACCACACACGACCATAGAACATAGAAGAGTACTTCCTCCTTTTCAATTTTTTTTGCAGTAATGACTACTTACTCTCTGCCAGTAGTGTGCAACATTTAATTCTATACTTATCAAGAAAACGAAGGTTTGAGGTGGGCTGATCTTAAAAGAATTGTATTGGACATTAGTGTGGCTTCTACAACGCATATTGCGAGCATTTCCATGGATTCACGTTTAGAGGGCTAGTCCATGAAATTACCAGAAATTCAATATAATACATGTTAAAATTAATAGAATCAGCACAATTATGGCAGGAATATCAACTAATGCAATTCATGCAAGCGACGAAGTGAATCCCGTGCGTGATGTTATACCACCAATTAACGTTTCCACCACGTACAAATACGCTGATAATCCAGAAGATTTGGTGAAATGGTCGGACTTGCCAGAAGAAAGTTCGATTATAGGCAATATTTTCTACTCAAGAATTTCGCATCCCAATTCGGAGAGGGTGGAGAAAGCATTAGAAAGTATTGTTGGAGGGCCTTCTGTGGCTTATTCCTCAGGGTTGGGGGCATTTTTTGCTGCGTTGACGTATTTTAACCCAAGCATCGTTTGCATTGGAAACGGATATCATGGGTGTCACAGCATAACAGATATATTTACCCGTCTTAAGGGATTGAAGGTAATCGGATTGGATGACGACTTGGATCAATTGAATGCTGGGGACCTTATATGTTTAGAAACCCCTGTTAATCCTGATGGAACTGTATTTGACATCAAGTATTTTGCTCTGAAAGCACACGAAAAGGGGGCATTCTTGCTAATAGATTCGACTTTTGCACCTCCTCCATTGCAGGATCCATTTAAATGGGGTGCAGATATGGTATTACATTCAGCAACAAAATATCTTGGTGGCCATAGTGATTTATTAGCAGGAGTTCTTGTAACAAAAGATATAAAGGTTAAGAATCAGTTAGTCACGGATCGTCTTGCTTTGGGAACAAACATTGCTAATTTAGAAAGTTCTTTACTATTAAGAAGTTTAAGAACCTTTGAACTTAGAATAACGAGACAGGCAGAGAATACTGAAAAGCTTGTGAAACATTTGGTAAAGAATCGTGATAGTTATCCTAAATTGAGGAGAATTTATCACTCTTCTTTGCAAACAGAGGCATTTGTTAAAAAGCAGTTACCGAATGGTTATTCGCCGGTCTTTTGTATTGAACTAGACAATGAATCGACTGCAAAAGAGTTTCCTTCGAAATTGCGCTATTTTCATCATGCAACTTCTTTAGGTGGGGTGGAAAGCTTAATAGAATGGAGAGTTCTCAGTGATTCAACTGTTAGTCCAACCTTGTTAAGAGTTAGTGTTGGTGCTGAGAATGCAGATGATCTAATTGCAGATTTTGACGAAGCTTTGAGATCTTAAGCATCGTACTAATTTTTTTTTACTAGTTTTTAAAATTCGCAGTTAGAGTGTAGTACTCGATTTAGATACTTTCCTATCATGATTTGTATTAATGTCTTCACGACACCTATAGAGTTAAGATTCTGAATATATTTGGTAAGTTTATTATTACATGAGAAAGATTAACGACTATTTAAATGCATTTTCACTTAGTTCTCCTTCAATTGTTCTTTTCCATACGCAGCACAGAAATCTTTTGAATACCTAAGTGAACAAAGGACAAGATCATCATTGTAACCATTCTCTTCCTTGGATGATAATAAAGATGTTTGACCAAGAATTGCTTTGAGCAAATTTTTAATGTGGACTTTGTGATCAATAGCATCCCCTGCTGACAATGTTAGAGTAATGTAATCTTCATGTACTTGCTCTAATCCAGACATGTGGCTATTGACATCCCATGATGAGATACCATTCGGTATCAAAGCGTCTGGTTCCCTAGGTTGACATATTTTTTCAGGATCAGACCAACCGGTGACCTTAACATCTAGAGAGAAAAATTCACTCAACTGAGAAATCTTGAATTTATTTCCGTCCTTATAAAGGATTGCTAAATTTGGACGATACATGCTGCTTCCACAACCACAGTTCTTTATATGGGCTCTTGAGAATCCAACCCAGACTTCAGTATCAGATTTGAAATGACTATCTAATGACGGGAATATATTGTTTATACTTATCATTTCAGTTCCACCTCGCAAATCGCCAACACTTGCATCAATTGGTAAGTCATCTACTCGTTTATATTCAAATGTACATTGTGAAACATCAGTAATGCCTGTTAATTGGCATTTCATAATTTCCAAGCTTTGCCATCTGTAAACAAAATAGATATTCTTGTCATAACCATCGACTTGGCGAGCCTTATTACTTATAAACGGAGTCCAATTCTTTTGAACTTTTAACCTAGGAGATGCTATATATCTTAATTCGGTAATTTTTGTGTATTCATTATTGGAATGCTTAGGATTCAGTGAACCATCAACATTCTCTTTTCCCAACTGAAATTGAAATGGCCACCCAACAAACATCGATCTATAATACTCAAATTTGATACTTGACGACGCTTCGTCAATTTTGACTTCATCAGAACCCTTACGATGGTAAGCGTTGAAAACAATCAAGGGTTCTTCAATACCATTGTCATTCTTAACAAGCAACATCCTAGCATCTTCAGGACCATAAAACCTTTTCAGAAGATAGTTGGCGTCATGGTAGAATGGTATTGGTAAGAAACTTGGGAAATTAATGCTTCTGAAGCTTTTGTCGTTGGTTAAGGAATCAGATGATGGCATAATCAAGTCGATATTTTCGATTTCATTCCAATCTTCATCGTATACTTGACCGTATAATAAACTCAAAACACTTCTTTTTTTAGGACCAGGTGGACTATACAACATTCTTGAGATCATGAAATGTACACCATATTGCTCCAACCATACTGATGTTCCGGCAAACTTAAACCAATGATCGCCTGCTGTTCCCTCTTCGAGATGCTTCTCCAAATCTTCATTGAAGAAACCTTTCAATTCCAGTATAGAAGGGTCGTCCTTTAATTGTTGGACCAATTTTCTGACTATTTTTTCAAATGAAAATCCAAAGGTATTCGAATTAGTGACATGTAGTTTAATTTTCTTGTTGATATCGGGCTGACATTTGTCAACATCTCCTCCGATGTCTTTTACAGAATCATATAACGAAACTTCATGCTTGTGATATTTATCTTCTCTGATTTTATTCGTCAAAGGTGATTTTGGTCCATTGTAGCTGAGGACTTTCAAATTTCCTGCTATTCCTCCCACGTATGTATTGAAGTGATCTTCTAACTTCTCTTTGGACTCAGAAGAGAATGAACGAGGATATACTACTAAGTGATCATTCGGCTTCTTTTGAAATGAAGAAATCTTGTCATTATAGAACCCTTTGATCTTGTTCAAAGTTGGGTATTTACCTTTATCAAGAGATGCATACTTGACTGTTGCTTTTTTTGAAGTCCATAGCAAACCAGTTAGCGTGAACAAAAGAACCAACACCAATAATATCTTTCTTGTAGTTTTGGGTCCAAATAAAATCTTCATCACAGCAGCATTTAACAACTTTTCTATTCTAGACTAACAACTATAACAAAATGTTTGGTAATTTGTTGATTTTTATTGACAAGTACCAACGGGGCAACTCATCGCTTTATCATTGCTAGCGCTGACATACATAGCCGGAAATACGACTCTTATTACATATACTTGCTGCAGTATTTTCCTATCCGGGATTCCGTACGCCTTTTCTATTGTCTTGCGTAATTTTCTTTGAATTTTATCAACTAATTATCTTGCCTCACATGGGCACGTTGTCGTGGAAGCGATGCGGACTTCAAGAGGTGCTAGAGAAAAATACAGTGGTAAACTAAAAATAGCACGTAATTTGTTAAGGGTAGGCAAATCGTTGCAAGTGACATAGTTTAAGATTTATGGAATAGTTGGTAAAAGAAAGTAATTTGGAAATAAAAAATTATGAACGGCTGAACAATAGTACATAATTGATATCTTTCATTCTATGGGCTTTATAACATGCTAACGGCCGTGAGCATCGCGTGCACTACGCATCATAGTTCACATGCAATCATAGCTCAACATAAAAACAAATCCGAATATTAATAGTAAGAGGAAGACATAATTAACCAAGTGATCGGTATAAGATGATGCAAGGTCAATACGAGATTCAACTTCGTAACGAAGAAAGAATATTTTCTACTTTTAGCAATTACGATAAGCACGATGTATTTTGTAATGGTGGTGAGCGGAAATGGACTCGAGTTATATTCCTCCTCCATGGGTTTCCAGATAATAACACGTCATACAATAGGCTTTGGTCAGTGATATTAAAGTCTGTCCCAGAAGATGAAAAGGTGTTGTTGCTAGCACCATTGATGAGAGGTTACGAACCGTCTAGTCAAGGTAAACAATGTGATTATAGGATGTCAGATCTTGCGGGCGATGTAATCTCATGGATTACAAATATTTCACCAGACGGTATTCCAGTACACCTTGTTGGACATGACTGGGGAGCGGTAGTGGCTTTTAAGACCGCTAGTATGTACCCCGAGGTGATAACATCAATGACTTGTTTGGCCATTCCATATATCACCAATATTCGATTATGGGAGTTTGCATGGTATTGTCCAGACCAGATCTATCATTCCAGCTATATGCTCACCATGCAGTTTGGATGGCTCTATAAAAAGAGACTTTCTGACACGGGTAGCAACAGTTATTTGGACGGATTATGGCGCAGCTGGTCTCCGACATGGAATTATACGGTAGATGAGATCGATAGTGTTAAGAGAACACTTCAGGAACCTGGAGTTATCGACGCATCAACTGCGTACTACAGATGTATTGCTAACCCTCTAAACATATCTAATAGGCGCTGGAACGTAGACTTTAAAAAAGTTCCAACGTTGATACTCGGTGGAGAGCGAGATGGGTGCATGAATGAAAAGTTGTATCGTTTAGAAGCCAGTAAGCTTGCAAATAACCCATATGTTAAAGTCAAGACACTTTCAAATGTCGGGCATTTCTTGCATCGTGAAGACCCTACAAAAGTTGGTGAATTGATAACTGACTGGTTCAGAAAATATCCTTAGCTTTACCTAGTTATACTTACCTTACGAATTGATATTTATTGGAAATGAATGAACAAAGTGAATTGCTCTATCACATGTAACAAGCTACAATATTTTGATCATCCATCTCTAAACACTATCTGTGTCTTATGATCATTTCATGACCTGACCCCAGAGCAAGTCCTACATAATCAGATTTTCTAGGCTATCCCTCTCAATAAAAGGTCAGAGTCTAATGTCTAAACTTTAAACCTGTGCAGCATTTTCTGCGTTCACATATGATCATTATCATGCTATTTTCAAACTATGTAGCAGGATAAATTTCTCTTCCACTTAGCCTCAAATCCCATTTCTGCGATGCAACTACATACAATGACTTATTTACCTAGTTTACTTATGTTCCTTGATAGGTACACCTACAACGAAACAATTGAATAAACCGACCACAAATCGAGAATTATTACAGTGGTTGACTCTCGGTTACTGAAGGATGTTAAATCCCGAATTAACTCCCGAATTCCGTTAATAAGGCATTTTGTACATCTGATGAGGCGATTATTCTAATAGTAGTGCAGACTATCCGAAGAGTCGCGCCGGAGTCAAAACGGGTCTGAAAAGTAAATTTGTGTAGTGGGGCAACAAAGGGGGGCGGAAATCTGAGCCATTAAGACCCGTTTTTTCAGCTCTTTAGAGCGAGAAACGCCTACCGGTTCTGGCGCTGGGAAAAAAGAATCTCATCAGAGTCAGGAAATTAACGGGACTAAGAGTGGGGGCCGGATATGGTTCTTTTAGTGTGTGAAGTAGTCGAACGACGATCCAAAATCGCCGCTTATAGGTGGTTGTTCACAGGTGAGACAGAGTGTACAGTATTAACTCTGGGCTTGTCATAATCTGGAGTACAGATCGTGGAGTTGTCATACCCCGTCCCTTATGCTGATTTAATCGGGATTGTTTGACTGTTATCAGAACTATTGCTGCATGTCGGGGAAACGCTCGACTGAGTGAGAAATTCAAAATGTATACTAATAATTCGCTCAATACATTGGAGAAGCGAATGTTGCATGAAAAATTAGAAGTGGAGTCATAGCAGACACATCTAGTACATAATAGATATATTTCGTTGCTAAATTCTCTCCTATTCTTTTTCATTCATATACCTGCCTGGTTCTCTTATAGCATACTAAAAATCTCTTGGATATATAATTCAAAGATACTATCACATTACAATATAAAAGTCTTTACAATCTACAGTAACTTAAAATGGTACTAGGCAGTGAAAAAAAATTGAAACCAGTGATTTCAGAAACCAGGAGAGGTTCTTCTGCATCGGGGTCGGAGTGTGATAATATTCCAAGCGTCGGCGCTACTAAGTGGGATAGATTTGTCGATGGTTTCAGAAGACAACACATACAGCACGGAGAAGAAGGTAAGAGTTTGCAAAAGGGTATAAGTGCAAGACATTTAACTCTTATGGCCCTTGTAACAGGTATGGGTACGGGGCTCTTCGTTGGTACAGGAAATATTCTAAGTACAGCAGGTCCGTTATTTTTGATTGTTGGATATATTATAGTTGGATCATTCTTGTATCCAACTTTACAAGCTGCCGGGGAGTTGGCAGTCAACTATAGTGAGCTTTCCGGCGGATATAACAACTATCCCCTGAAATTCATTGATGAATCAGTTGCATTTGCAGTAACTTGGATTTACTGTATCGAATGGTTATCGACATTTGCATTAGAATTAGTCACTGCCTCCATAACGATCAAATATTGGGATGGTGATCAGAAAATTAATCCGGATGTTTGGGTCACTATCATATTCGTGATAGTCGTTCTGCTTCATTTTGTCGGTTCCAAAGCCTACGGTGAAGGAGAATTTGTTATTGGATGCCTTAAAGTTCTTATGGTCACTGGGTTTCTTATTATGTCCATTGTTGTTAATGTTGGTGGCGGTCCTGAAGGAAAATTTATTGGGGGCAAATACTGGCATGATCCTGGATATTATACTAACTTCAAAGGCTTATGTACGGTATTTGTCACTGGTGCATTTGCCTTCAGTCAATCTGAATTTGTTGCATTATCGGCCGCTGAACAACCAAACCCTAGAAGGGCTATTCCTACTGCGTGTAAATTGGTATTCTGGAGAATTTTGATTTTATTTTTGGGTTCTTTGATTATGATCGGTCTTTTGGTTCCAATGGATTCCGCTGAATTGATGGGTGCATCTGGTGGTGGATCAAATGCATCTCCATTTGTTCTTGCTGCAACTTTGCATGGAGTTACCGTAGTGCCACATATAATCAATGTTGTTATCTTGCTTTCTGTTTGTTCCGTTGCTTCATCATCATTATATGCATCATCTAGAACTTTGCAATCGTTAGCGGATCAGGGATACGCACCAAAATATTTCAATTATATCGACAGATCAGGTAGACCGTTGCGCTCATTAATTGCGTGTTCTATCGTTGGATTATTTTCTTATATTGCAGCATATGAGAAACAAGAAACAGTCTTTAACTGGTTGTTATCCATCTCTGGATTGGCGCAACTTTTTACATGGGATGTTATTTGCATTTCGCATATTAGATTCAGACAAGCACTTAAATACAATGGAATTTCAACAGACTCTTTAGGATATACTTCTTCAACTGGTATCTGGGGTTCTGTATATGCCATTGTAATACACTGGTTGATTTTAATTGCTCTGTTTTATACTGCCTTGTTTCCGGTTGGATCTAGTACTCCAGATGCACAAAGCTTCTTTCAAAACTATCTTGGCGCAATCGTCTTAGTATTCTTTTATGTTTGTCATAAACTTTGGTCGAGAAATTGGAAATTTTATGTCAACACATGTGATATAGACATTAATACTGATAGAACTATATTCGATGAAGAAATATTGAACTTAGAAAAACAAGAATTTCAAGAGAAGTATAAAAGTGATCCTTGGTATAAGAAACTTAAGACTATACTCCTTTAAACAGATAACCATATTAATCTATTTATTTACGTCCCTTAATTTGGACATTGCATAGAATCAAATTCTTTTGCACAAAATATTTCTTGATAGTGTGTAACTCAGGGATTTTCTTACAATCCCCTGGTGGGCTTTTGTTGAATAATATTCTGAAAATTGTTCACACCCTTTAGAAACTTCCTGAATTTACAAATACATTATATATTGCTATATATTGGAACAACACTGAATTAGAAATTTATATTTTGATATTGATAGGCCTGTTTCATTGTAGTGCTCACTATAACACCATTTTGCTAAAACGTTTGTTAGCGTTAGAAATAAAACTTTTGGGAACACAATATTAGTTCCCAAATAGAATTAAAGCTTCTTCCAAATCTATTTTGACGAAATCGTCTTAGTGTTATTCTATATTTGTCAAGCTTGTCGAGGAATTGGAAATTTAATGTAAAGATCTGCGATATAGACATTCGTATAGGTAGAACTATATTTGATGAAGAAATATTGAACGTAGAGAAACAAGAATTTCAAGAGAATTAATGCAATGATCCTTGGTATAAGAACCTTAGGTTCGTATTACTTTAAGAAAAATAAATTTGACTAGTTTATATTGATTCTAGCTTCTTTGTTAATACTGTAGAGAAACGTTGCAATGCATTTTATATTTTCTCAATGTACTGAAATTTTCTTTATTCTCTGAATCAATGTCTGCAAGTTCATACTCCAGCCTTTCTCCAATTATACTTCCCAAGGAACATTGAATCAATTTCTTCTAAACTTTTGCCTACTGTTTCTAGATAAAAGAAGTAAATTAAAATTGCAGCAGTGAAATTTGTGCATGTAAGTAAAATATACGTTCTCCAGTCAATATTTGCAGTGCTAACTGGAGTAATCATTACGATAACAAAATTCCATAACCAATTAGAAGAGGAAGAGGTTCCAATCGATGCTCCTTGTACTCTGAATAGAAGCGGTAAAATTTCTGGAACGTAAACCCAAGGAACACAGTTCATTGTTGCTCCAAAGAAAGACATATAAATAAAAAAGAAGGCAGCTATGGAAGTTTCGGAAGGTTATATCTCAGCAAGGTTGCAATAATTAACATAGAAAAAGCCAAACCTAATGAACCAATTATCACTGTTAGTCTTCGACCCATATTGTCTAAAAATAATGATGGTACGATACTGAATACCATCATGCAGATTTGAGTACAACCTGCCAAAAGTCTGGCGAAGTTCTCAGATAGACCCACATTTGTTCTCAATATCAACACCTCCTACTTGATTCATACATTGAATACCCCAAGCAAGCAATATCCTATATATTGCTCTAGTGAAATCTTTTCCTCTTAGTACATTTAGGAACCCAATGTTAGCATCTTCAGTTTCGCTTTCTTAATTCTAATATCTCCTCACATAATTTTAAAACCGAAGGACCTTCAACATTTTTACCTGTGATTCTCGCTTAATCAACCTTGACCTGACCTCGTCAATTCGATCTTTGTTGATCAACCATCTTGGAGGTTGGGACAGAAAAATAATAAATCACAACCTATTATGGCAAGCAAAATTTGCATGCCTACAGGCAACCTCCATACAGTTCCGCCTTTTGCAAAACTCATTCCATAACCAAATCAAAAAGCAATTAGGATTCCACCAGCTACAAGTATAGGTACAGCAGAAATCAATTTTCCTCTGTGTGCTGCCATACAAACTTTGCTTGAAACATTGGTGTAGTACTTGTCTCAAAAATTGTCTCCATTCCGGTTTAAAACCTTCCCAACCATTAGTTATGTAACTTTATAAGAAGAAGTTTGAATAACTGCACCCACAATGATAATTACAACGCCAAGCCAAATGGTCCTTTTTCTTCCTAAAATACCACCCAAATACATGTTAGTTAAACAACCAGTAAAACATCTAAGGTTGTATATTGAAACGATAATACCCAATAAGCTTGTGCCTGGGTAGCCAGATTGGCTCCTAAACAGCTCAGTAACTTCAATATTTGCTAAACTCGTTGTTCATATCCATATATAATAAAGTATATGATACATGTTGTTGTAAGCATTATCTGAGTAGATAAAACCTGGGCGTGCTATGGGGTAAAATTCATTTATCGTCCCCATACTGATATCTTGTAAACTGTTGCACTTATTTTCTAAAGATTGCTAGAGCTGTATGAATAATTTTATATTCAACAAACTTTGACTGCATCCTCATTTGGTAAATAGGGAGGTAACAACCTTAGCTTGTATGCTATTTATTGTACTAGTGCGGGTGAATTCTTAATCCTTCTAACATCCCTTCATACTTGAAAGGGTTTTAAACCGATTTAAAATATAGCCGCAAATACTTTAATTAGCGGCTAAACTCGGCTAACTTATCTAGCTCTAAAATTACGGCTAAGAGAAACTAATTTAGAACCAATTCACTTGAAAATATTATTATGTCATAGCAGAATAATGGAATACGACGCATTACCAACACGATTAGATACAGGATAGCCAGGAAGCAATAGAAATAGCATTGATAGGTATTCTTTTAAGTATCCAATTGGTTTGGGCATACGTGGAACTTAAAAATCTTTTATAGATTCACTTATTTCTCTACACGGAAAGAAATTTCATCGCACTATATACTCAATCAACGATAATATTTATATTATTTCACAGATAAACCCTATTTGAGATCTTGGCTATCAAGAATGTTTGAATTTATATTTATAACCTTTCGAGTTCATCTTGACCTTTAAGACTACTAACGCGCTTTCTTACAATCACGGCCGATAAGAAAATACACGTGGACGCTTAACGAAGCTCGTATTCTGCCTCTAATTGACGAGTATAATGAAACGTAATGTAACTTTTACAAGAATTGAATTTCTAATCATATTCGTGCCATTGGTCCCACGTTCTTCTATTAATACCAAATGATTTATAAAATTTGAGTATTCCCAAATTGTTCAACTTGCAACCAGAAATCTAAAAGATCGCTTGTTGCAACCTAAAATTATTCTTTTTCGCTCCCTCGCTAAATTTTATCAACATGCAGTTTAAAGCCTTTTATAAAATCTTTATCGCTATACTGTATCTCAAAGTTTCTCTTGCGATACCTCAAGTAAGAGACCTTCCAGAAATTAAGGTTGGTCCTGTCCAACATCGTCTTGCATATGCTGGAGATACAGGAATGGTAGTTAGTTGGAATACATACCAACAACTTGAAGCTCCTTGGGTTCAGTATGGTCTTTCTCCGGATTCTTTGGATCAAACAGCTGAAAGTCTGGTATCTATTACTTATCCAACTTCTATTACTTGGAACAACCACGTGACTATCAAAGATCTTCAGCCAAATACTACCTACTACTATAAGGTTGCAAACAGTGGAAACAATTCCGATATTTACAAATTTGTCACAGCTAAATCACCCGGTTCTACTGATGAATTTTCTTTTTCTGTCGTAGTTGATATGGGAACTATGGGTGAATTAGGTTTAAGTGAGGAGGTTGGGAAAGGTGCTACAGGGGCACTTGAACCAGGTGAACAAAACACGATTCAATCTTTACGTAATAGTATGAATGAATTTGAGTTTTTGTGGCATCCTGGTGATATTGCATACGCTGACTACTGGCTTAAAGAAGAAATTCAACATTACCTACCAAATACAACGATTGCTGACGGTTATAAAGTCTACGAACAAATTCTTAATGCTTTTTACGAAGAACTTCAACCAGTATCAGGTAATGAACCTTATATGGTTGGGCCAGGAAACCACGAGGCTGATTGTGATAATGGAGGTACTTCAGACAAGGATAATGATATTAAATATACCAATTCTATCTGTGTTCCTGGTCAAACTAACTTCACTGGTTATAGAAATCACTTCCGTATGCCTGGTGATGAGTCTGGTGGTACTGGTAATTTTTGGTATTCCTTCAATTACGGTCAAGTTCATTTTGTTCAATTCAATACTGAAACCGATTTTGGTAATGGACTTGCTGGTCCTGAAGATGCAGCACCTAACGGCCCACAAGGATCATATCCGAATGCACAGATTGACTGGCTAGAAAAAGATCTTGCATCGGTAAATAGGGCCGAGACTCCTTGGATTATTGCTGCTGGACATCGTCCCTGGTATGTTGCTGGTGAAGGTTGCACTGATTGTAAAACCGCCTTTGAATCTATACTTAATAAACACAACGTAGATCTTGTTGTTAGTGGTCATGTGCACAACTACGAAAGGCAAAAGCCTATTTCAAATGGTATTATAGATCCAAATGGTCTCAATGATCCTTCTGCTCCTTGGTATATTGTCAACGGGCTAGGGGGGCATTATGATGGTCTCGACCCGCTTGAATACCCACTTCCAAACTACACTGAAGTTGCTCAAAATTCAGCGTATGGATGGTCGAAATTTACAGTTCATAATTGTACTCACTTAACTCACGAGTTCGTTGCATCTGCGAACAATTCAGTTTTGGATAGAGCCACACTTTTCAAAAACCGTACATGTATTGAGTCACCTAAGAATATCACTCATCCTATTAGCTCTGGACAATCTAGTTTGACTAATTCCAGTACGTATTCAACACTTATGTACACTAACATTTCTACCGTCATAGATTCTATAGATTCCAAATTTATGGACACAAAAACAGAATCGAATATCAAGGTTATTACCATAACGTCTTGTTCTAGCAACATATGCAGTGAAGCTTCTGTTTCGGCTGCACCTGTTTAAACATCAACTACTATCCAAGGAATTGAAACTATTGTCACAAGCTATTGTCCAATATCGAATACGGGAAACAACCAAGCTACCGATACCACTATTTCCGCTCCATACTCGAATTCATCAACCCACAATGCTTCCAGTATTTCCCCACATATGGTTTCATCAGTCGGAGAAAATTCCGCTGCTAAAATTGCAGCAGGTAGCGTTATTGGATTCATTATTCTACTTTAGCCTTTTAAATTTATATATATCGTGGTTATAATCTGTTATGCGATATTTGAAATACCTGCAAATACTTATATGTTAAATAGTTAATTTAATTTAAGCTGTTTGGCTTGAAAATCAATTCTAGCGGTTAAATAGACGACTCTGTTAGCGATGATTAGGCGAATGCGAAACCCCGACTAAAAATTAATGCGAAACCCCGACTAAAAATTTCCCCTCAATGGCGACGCGTTTAAAAATGATATTCCCTCGTATACATAAGAATGGATCTTTCTAATAAGAGGATTTCATATTGATAACGCTCAGCTTATCATATGCAACTGATTCGAGTGAAATGTAATGGGATGTTGGTTTATAATGCGAAGACAGGGAAGACATCTTAAATGATGATTCAATCAATTGCTATAAAAGCAATTGATTTTGGTAAACGTAATAATATGGTAGAGGCTTATTATATGATAAAGACGTATTATATCATAGAAAGTAGATGAATTAATTCATTTGGCTTTAAATGGATTTACTCGTAATATGAATTGTCGCAAAAAAAAATATTCGCGAATCGCGCTTTTAAACGAACAAGCTAAGCTAGGACAGGTTGCAACAAAAGTTCTTGCATATCAGTTTGTACACACTAATTGTTTATTATATTGAATGTTGGATGTCAGACCAAAGCAGTAATGTAGTAGCTACTTTAATAATCTTAGACAATGTTTATTGTATCCAATGATATATGAACAATTCACAATTCAATTACGCTCAATTGCATAGCTGACGTATAGTGCAAATTACGCTGGAAAACTTTTAACTCATGCTAATGATTGCAAACAATTAATGAATAAAAAAAATATAAAAACGGTACGATCTCTGACTGTTATATGATGTTTGTGTCAGATAAAAACAATTAATATATAACATGCACTTCAGAAGCATTATCTGTGTATTCTTGCTGGCAATTTTGATGTCAGTCCATGCTATACCATTGACTGTTTTAATTCCTACTCAAGATAGTTTTTATATCCCACCTGAAGGACTTGAGAGGTATAATAATGGACATATTCTCAAGTTACGAAAAACTCCACATCCTTTAAGAAGAGCAAAGCAACAGATTAATATAAAGAACTCCTGGCAAGCAATGGTTAGGTCCAGCGACTCTTATGGAGCAGCCACTACAATTGTTACAACTATCATGGAACCTTATAATGCTGATCCCGAAAAGGTCGTCTCTTATCAAATATTTGAAAATTCAGCATGCATTGACTGTCCTCCTTCCTATGGTTTACAACTTGGTGCTAATGAAACCACTCTTACTGAACTGAATGAAATGTATTTCATTGAAATAGCATTAAATAAGGGTTGGTTTGTCGTAACTCCTGACTACGAAGGTCCAAAGGCGGTGTTTAGTGCATCTATACAAGAAGGACAAGCTACTTTGGATTCAATTAGGGCTGTATTGAAAAGTTCGAATATTACTGGTATCAGTAATCACGCCAAAGTCGCCATGTGGGGCTATTCAGGAGGCACGATTCCTACAACATGGGCGGCAGCACTACAACCAACATATGCTAGTGAATTGAAAGCCAATTTAGTTGGTGCTGCATTCGGTGGGTTAGTTAGTAATATCAGTTCTACTGCTGAGCTTTTAGACGGAGGAATACATGTCGGGTTGACAGTAGCAGCGGTGGCGGGATTAGCAAATGAATATCCTGATTTTAAGGAGGTCATTATGAATGATCTTTTCCCCAATAAGACAGATCAATTTAATGAGATTTATAAATTATGTATGACACCGGAAGGTCCATACTATTCAGAACAAAAAATTTTTTCAGGGCCTGAAAGATATTTTAAAAGTGGTTGGAATATTTTGAAGGATCCAGTTGTTCTGAAAGTACTCAATAAAAATATTTTAGGATTACATAAAGGCCATGGCATTCCTGATATTCCTCTTTTTCTATACCATGGAGAGAAAGACCAAATGGCTTCAATTGAGCAAGCTCAAAGAGTTTATGATAATTGGTGTGAATGGGGGATTGGATCATTCGAATTTGCGGCCGATGCGTCTGTTGGTCATCACTTGGCAGCACTCACAGGCTTGGGGGCTGCGATGGAATGGTTAAACAAAAGGTTAGAAGGTGAAATTCCACTTCAAGGATGTAGCAAAACAGTAAGAAAGTCTAATGCTTTCTATCCTGGAATTGAAAAATCCGTATTTGACTTAATTAGTTCCACTGCAAAAAGCTGGTTTGGTATTCGAATTGGTCCTAGTGGTTTAAGCCCAGCACTTGGTGATACCGGTCGGACTGCCAGTGTAGTCACCAATAACGGTAGTGTTGTTGTTGATCAAGCATATATTGACAAAATTAACTGGTAATCATTATGATGCAACGTATGTGAGTTGTGATGCTTGTTAAGTTAAGCAACATATAATTTTAATAAATTGGGCATGTAGACTATATAAACTATATAAATATTGTACTATACCTTACTAAATGTTTCTATACCTAATATTCATACTGTTCTCAAGAATAGAATTAAAACTGTATAACCAACTTCTCTCCACTGATGTCACCTTCTCGAATAAGCTTGAGTCCATCATTAATACCATTCAATCCATTTCCTTGAACTTTTATTGGTATGTGCTTTATTTCATTATTATTTATCAAATTTTGGATACTAGGAATAAATTCAAGCATAGCCTCTTTAATTCCAGGGATCGCTCGAAATACAGTTCCATTATTATATCTAACATCGTTTCCATTTGCAGTAAATGCTCTTGTCATAGTGAATTCTACATTGGACTTAGGATTCTTAATAGCTTCAAAATTTGAAACTACCAAGGAGTCTATCTTCGTTAGCAAAGCATCAGAAACAGAATCATGAGTAAGCTGCAAAGTCGCATTGCCTCCTATAGTATGTAAAGCAGTAGTGATATTTGGGTCAATATTTTTGATCTGTTGCGTAACATTCAGGTCGTGGTAATCAATTAAATGATCCGCACCGAAGCCCTTAATTAAAGTTGCATGTTTTTTTAAATTTTTTTGCGATCTGACTTGCTACCAATCCTGTTGCTGTTGAGCCACCATAGATCAAAAAGCTTTTATTTTGCAGTTGCAGAAAACTCCCGCCTAATGTAAAGTACATGCTGCATCCCAAGGTTACTACTGCGTTAGGAATTGAACATGCACCTTCAAATGTATCAATATTTCCTGACGGTAAATTTTGAAGGTTGGATGAACTGAGCTTGTTTAACTTAATTGAGTAGACTTCTTGAACAATTGCCAACTTAGAGTAGGCACCTTTTTGAGGATTGGAATAATCACCGCCATGGATAAAGCTGGCTATAAAATCACCAGGAACAAACCTCGTAACATCCTTACCAACTTGCAAAACGATACCACTTACAGTTAAACCCATGATTGCATCATCAGGGGCCCAATCATAATCGATATGATAGTAATCAGCACCATTAATAGAAGCAGCTTTTGATTCAATCAAAATTTCATCGGAGTTAATTGGTGCAACCGGAACTTCTTTTACTAGTAATTGCGAAGTTGATTTTTGCAATACAGCAGCTATAGTGGTAGTCATTGTAGTAATTATAATAATAACAAATAAAGGAAACAAAATATTATAAGTTTTCTCCTGTGTTACTTAACATAATCAAATTATATCAATTATTAGAAATACAGAGATTAAATACTACAGAAGAGGTTATTGTATTTTTGCATTATTAGTAAGCTAAGATTGTTGTGGTAGTAAGTTTTGTGGTGTTCCTTCAGAACATGTACTAGATATATAGGTAATATACCGGAACATTATAGAAGATTAGAAATCGTTAACTTTACATAATTAGAAACAAATGATAGCCTTCAAACAGCAATTCTTAAGAATCATGGTAGTACACATATTGAAGACTTATGAAATAAAGATGATCACCAAAACTGGCTTTTTTCAATTTACTTCATTAATTTGGACATATTATTCCACCAACCTTTGAACAACTCTTGATCTGTGGTTGCAACTACCTCGTTTAAAACACTCTCGTTCGCCTATTTAATCATGTATAAAAACGAAGCGAGGGTAATGTCAGTCCACCCAATAGTTTCTCCAGAAAGAAAAGTGTTTTGTTTCAAATTACCTAGTAATAAGTTCAAATTATTTTGAATCCGCTTGACGTTTAAGTCTCGATCCTTTAAAGCTGCGGTACTAAGATCTCCATATAAAGCTGTATTCTTTTTTATATAATATTCTTTACTTTCATCGTCTAATTTATTAGCTATATCCAAAATAACCAATTTAAACAATGGTTCCTTTATCTCTGCAAGCCAATTGTAGATAAATTCATGTAGTGCTAGATTACCTTGAAAGATCGATGCTCCAGAATATTTCTCTTCGAGGTATTGAGCAATCTTAAAAGAGTCTTGTATTACATTTTCACCATCAACCAACACAGGAACAGTACATCCTTTCTCTTTATGTAAAATACCTGGAAGAATTGCGTGAATCTCTGGATAAGTTAAGGGGGCAGACTCAAATTCTATACATTTCAATTTAAGACACATACGTGCTTTCCAAGGGTTAGAGGACCATAAATACTTAGGATCTTTTCCTCTCAATTCATATAATTTGATACTCATTCCTACTGTAAACTTACGATGAATTAAAACATAAATTAAAACATAAATTTAATCAAGGGAGGAATTATATTTTGCTTTATTATCACATGGTTAATATGCAAGCATATTCATCTGCATTTATCACATCTAGGTGCGGCGAGTCTATTGTTTTTAACTGAAGTCTTTTTATACTTATGTGGGTCCCATTTGAATATTATTGACAAAAATACCGAAAAAATGAAACGAAGTATTTATTCGTTGAATGGAATTGTTTTGATAACCTACCAGATATAGTAAACTATACTGCAAGACATGCTATAGAAGTCATTCCAATTCCGTTCTTTGTAATTATCCTTATACAAACTAATAGCATAATAAGTAAGACTCTTATTAAATTTTAAACAAAACCATAAGTAAGACTATGCCTTTTCCCAGAGGCTTCAGTTAGACGTAAAGTTCATTATCGTGTTTGTTTATAACTAAGGTCTGGACTTGGCGGGAAGAAGTCGGCCTCTTTCTTTGATTTGGAGCAAGCAGTCCAGGTGTATAAATCACCCTGGTTCTTTTCATTGCTGACTGAAATATATTTCTTCTCACCAATAGAGACTGCTCCTTGAGTTCTAGGCTGGCCAACACAATGGCACTTTTTGACTTTAATTTTCTATTTTCAGCATTCAAATCCCATTTGACCAATCTAGTTTGTTTTCCAGAACTGGCTGTCCGATACTCTCCCACAATTAAAGAATCCGGTGTACTAGTTCTATCAAGAGCAACATATGAAACTCTGAAATCCCTTTGAGGTGTCAATTTATACTAACTAATTTGGGGTATAATATACTTATAGTTAGCAGATGTATATTTAGTACTGTCCTTTCCAATTTTGCTACCAGTATCTACCTTCCATACGGTTGACAAATTTAGACGAATGTCTGTGCCGACTACGTATAATAAATCTCCATATCATGCTATCACCAGCATGAATTTTCACCGGCAGAAAATCATCTTTGGCTGTTGGATAAACTAGTAGCGCATGCCGATACTTGTTATTTTCCTTTATCAACAAATGTAACACGAGCAATAGTATCATCTTCATTATACCAGCTAATAACCCACGCGCCTGTTCCATTCCAATTCCTCTTATCATAGGCATCAGCCGAAGATGCAATGTCTTGAGGAACCCACTTTTGAGTATTCAAATCATCAAAGCCATCTTTACTTTCCCATTGCATTGCATTTTTAACTGTTGAATATTCCCATGGATTTATCACATAACACTAATACAGACTCTTATAACATTAACCGAGGATTCATTTCAATTATTTATGATGAATTCATATGATGAAGACTAATGTTGGGTGGATGGGGTCAAGCATATATTAGATGCTCTTAGAAGTTTATTCTTCACCAAAATAGCACTTCTCGTTCCTTTGATACAATTGAAAGCAAGGGACCCTAATTTTGATCACGATGACCTGATAGTCGTTGATATTCAACAAGCTAACTAACAAACCCTGCCATAAAATTTTCTTTTTTGTTGCAAATTAATATCATATCATTTAAATACATATATTTAAGGAGTTTGAAGCCATTACATGAAGTTTAAGTTGTAACTAATTGATTTAGTACCTTAATTTACTTTATTTGGTTATTTTCTGAGTCTCCGAGATGGATTATTAAGAATGGAGAAGAGGATCATGCTAAAAGAATTCTTCCTAACATGAGAGGCGTAGAAAGGGGCAAGCAAGAGTTTAGCGAGATTGTAGATGCCATGAAATTTGAACAAGATTCTGCTTTATCTCCTAGCTATTGGCGTATGTTTCCCGGATATTTCCCTAGCAAGGTAGTAAGAAGTCTGCCAAAGCCAAAACACTTCATATTGCACGGCGTGTACAAATAGTTATGGATGCAAATTTTCCAAGAATGGGTTGGGATAGGTGGTGTTACAGTCTATCAACCGGAAATATTAAAGCAAGCTGGATTTGGAACCCTTAAATCTGCTTGGTTGAGTGGAGTCAACAGTATATTCTACTGTATATCTACATTGGCCAATTTCTTTCGTGGATAGATTTGGTAGAAGATTTACATTATTTTGGGGAGCCATTGGACAAGGATTTTCTATGTTTTTGGCCTGTAGATTCTCCAAGCTTCAGCAAAACAATCCAACAAATTTATCGTACGGTTCTGCAGCTGCAAGTTTTGTGTTTATTTATACCTCTATCTGTGGAGCAACATGGTTAACTGTTCCATGGCTTTATCCAACTGAAGTATTTCCACTTTAAAAGTAGGAGCCCAAGGAATGCGTTTGATGTTGTTGGGTGATCTATTGGGGATGGATGGTTAACTCTTTTGTGTCCTATAATGTTCAGTAAGATTGGATACAAGACATTATATATATTCGGGCATGTAATTATATTTCACTTGCTTTGGTATACTTATTCTTCCCAGAAACAGCTAACAGTACTTTGGAAGACATTGGTTATTTAGTCGCGAATGATAGTTGGTTAGCATCGAAATCAGAAGCCGATTTTAAAAGAATAAAGCTTGAACAAGTTGATAAGAAATTCGAAAATGAAAAACAAACTATTGCTGATAGCTCTGAAAAGGAGAATTTTCTAACTGAGAATTATGAATAAAGTATATTCAAGTATTGCAAAATGGTAATATACATTGATTATTTATTTTTTAGAGATAAATCTCATTCGATTGTTCATGATTTGAAGTTTGCAAACATTGTAAATAGCTAGAAAAAAATATCATATTATAAATATCGCTCAATGGTTACCTGATTAGTGTTTTCATATCTTTCCACCACCTGGTGAACGTAGCACGATTGGCACTTTCAGTGACAACATTGAAAACATCTTCATTCATTAAAAACGTCATATGTAGAAACGAAGCTAGCGAAATGTCAGCCAAACCAATTTCCTCTCCCGAAATAAATTTATGGGTCTTTAAGTTTTCTAAAAGATAATCCAAGTTGGTTTGAATATAATTGATATTCTCATCTCTATTGACTGCAGTTAATTGCTTGAGATTACCAAACATTTGGGTTCTAGCTGTCAAGAAAAATTCTTTACTTCCTTCGTCTAGTTTATCAGCAATATCTAAAATAGTTAATTTGAATAGTGGGAAAAGAATTGCCGTTTCCATCCAATTATAAGCAAACTCTTGCAATGCCAGGCCACCATAAAAAATTGATGGACCAGGATGATGTTCGTCTAAATACTGAGCAATCTTGAAGGAATCTTGTATAACCATTTCATTATCGACTAATACTGGAACCGTGCATCCTTCTGTTTTATGCAATACTTCTGGAAGAACGCTATGTATTTCCAAATAAGTTAAAGGAATAGATTCAAATTCTATACCTTTCAAATTGAGGCACATCCTGGTTTTCCATGGGTTACATGACCAAATTAAATCAGGATTCTTTCCTCTTAACTCATATAACTTAATGGCCATCTTTGAATACTTCTAATTTTTATTATTTAAATTATTTGTGTCTATCCTTACGAATCCGTGTATCATAATAATGACATTTAAGGCCACTTGATATTTTTTTCACATGATAGAGTTCGTGGTTGCTTACTCCGTCGGCCTTATTGCTATCAAAATATCAAAAGCATGCAAGTTTAAAAGTGGTTCAAACCATATAGGTAATAGACCGACATAGGTATTCTGTCGCACCTTTCTTTTTTTGGGACGTCAGGAAGAGCTCGATATACCTAAACACTATACTTTCTATTCGATAGAAGGTAGTATACGTATGCCAAGGTGAAATTAATGAAATAGACTTTGATTCTGTCAGATTATTTTGTTCAGGAGTATTTTTGCACGGATATTAATCTCGAAATATATTAGCGGTGCTGTGTATTCACATATAGGATTGAATAGATTCCTTAAAAATTTCTCTGTATCTTCATCAGTGGATACACATTTATCACAAGGCTATAATATTGTTTAAATCAAACTCCAAGCAATTTAGTTATTATATTATCTCTCTGATTTAATAGTCCCATGAAGTCATGGAACTCTCTAATAAACAAAGAACCATTGGCACATGTTGTGTGGAATTGTGCGACTAGTGACTACAAAATATTATACCATTCACACGTACCGGGTGTCGAGAAGAGAAACTTGTAATATTTACTGGATGTCAAGTTCAAACAGTTCAAAATAGTCTTAGCATACAAAAGACATGTCATGTAAAGAATTTTCCAAAGCTTTTCTCTTTTTTTGTTTGCCTGAATAGTTTTCATTTAAGCTCACTTCATGATCAAGAACTTCGCTCAACTTCTTTTCAAGGGAATTTGTAACAGCTTCACTCATATAAATTTAAATTATGGCCGAGCAATAGTATCCTATTAGTACTGAAGAAGGATACTTATTTTTGCAATGATAGTATGGCTGCGGCAGATGCCAACATATCGGATAAAGTTTACTTGCATGGTGCGCGTGAAATCATGCTACATGCGATGAGGATGTTCCGTAATATATAGAAAGAGAAAAAAAATTCAACTCCAATATTGAACTGTCGAGGATGATAAAGGATATAAATGCCCTAATTAATACAAAGCCGTTAGTGATCGATGGGGCCCTAGGCACACAATTAGAAACAAAGTTCAAGAAAGTATTGCAACAAAAGAATATTAATATTCAGTCTCATCCACTATGGTCCGCACTTGTTCTTCTCAAAAATCCCGAACTAATTCAAGAAGTACATTATGATTATATGTGTAGTGGGGCGAATATTATTACAACGTCTACTTATCAAGCATCTAAAAGAGGTTTATTAGAATATGCTCCTGGTATCGGGAATGACGATGAAGTAAATGCAGTATACGATAAAGCAATTGAGTTAGCGGTAGATGCAAGATCACAATACTTAGGAAATATGGGTAAAGGTATGAACAATCTGGTGAATAAAGAAATCTTTATCTGTGGTTCAATAGGCCCATTCGGGGCTTACTTGGCCAATGGTGGAGAATACACTGGTAAATATGGGTCATATATAACTGAACCTCAAGAGTTGAAAAAATTCCATTACGACATAACAAGTCACTTTATCAGTAATCCTAAATGTGATATAATTGGATTTGAAACGATTCCTAATTATTCAGAATTCCAGCAAATTGTAATTTTAATGGAGGAATTATTGCAGAAAACGAATAAGCCTTTTTATATAAGTTTGAATTTCAAGGATCCTAAGACAATATGTGATGGCACTCTGTTAACCCAAGTTGTTGACTACTTAAACGAAAGATTGTCTAATAACGAAAAATTAAAGTCTGCATTTATTGGGCTCGGATGTAATTGTGTTCCATTAGGAATAGCTACTAATATTCTCATAAACATGTCAGATTTGAATAAGATTCATGGATTTCCTTTGATAGCTTATCCTAATGCTGGTTTGAACTACGACTTATCTAAAGGTGAGTATAGTATTAAAAGTTCAGAAAAGCAGGTTTGGGAAGACTCATGTGGCGAATGGCTCGAAAAGTTAAACGTCAGAATAGTGGGTGCTTGTTGTGGCAGTGGCCCTAACGAAATATTGACTATTAGAGAAGCCGCTGACAAATTTGCTGGTCACAGATGAACTTCTGATATTCTATATTCCTACATGACCAGAAGAAAATCCTATTTCAAATGGAGATGTTTGGTTAATATAGAGCTGAAAAAATGGGCTTAATAGAAAATTTCCCTTATCACAAGGGAATGAATTTGTTTATAATTAACATTTTGCTGTAGTAAGTTCTTTAAACTCTACGCCCTAAATCGAAAAAATACATCACAATATTTATCACGTGAAAGAAGCAACAAACTGAATATCAGCTAAGACTTATACAAGACAACCAGATATTATTTGTTTCCAGAAGTATATGCAATGGAACCAGCATCAAAAAGGACGAAAGTCGAGGAGTTACCTAAATTCAGCAATAAATATTATCCATACGATATTGATAATAAGACAATTATATCTAAATATATCAAAAGAGAAGATTTGAAACCGATTAATGTCTTACAGGCAAAATTAAACGATACTGAAGCGAATAGAAATCAGATTGATGTTGGTGACAGCATTGCACACCTATTCTTGCGTGATTTTAGAACGATAGATAATAAAGGACTTTCAATAGCAAGTGAATTAGCGACTAGAAAGAAAAAGCCATTAATCACATTTCACATCTTTTGCCTGGAAGATTTCGATGCACATTCAATGAGTCCATTTAAATTGGAATATATGTTAGGATCATTAGTCGTATTGAAAAAGGATTTACGTGAGATGAATATCCCATTGGTGTCTTTACAAGTTGAGAAGCGGAAAGACGTACCAACAAAGATTGCGGAATTTCTAGAACAGAATAAGACTAGCCATGTATTTTGTAATATGGAATATGAAGTAGACGAATTAAGATTATTATCTAAACTTGTTTGTTTCCTTCTTGATAATCATATCAGTTTCAATCCTGTTCATGACTCATGCATAGTAAATCCTGGTGAATTAAAGACGAAATCCAAAGGTACACAATATGCTGTCTTTACACCTTGGTATAAGGCTTGGTGTAATTATTTGAAATCTGAAGAAGCTCTGCTCATGGAGTATCCACGACCTCATGCTAATGAATCATTTCCGGACACGAACAAGTTATTTGATAGCAAGATACCTCAAGTACCAGAGTCCAAGCGTCTCACCCATGATCAACAAAAAGAATTTGACACATGTTGGAAATGTGGTGAGCATGAAGCATGGCTGGCACTATGTGTTTTTCTTGAGTCCAATAAATTTAAGAAATATGATGAATCAAGAAATAAAATATCGGAAGAATCTGTATCGCGTATGAGCTGTCCTATTTCTTCGGGAATCATATCTACACGGTCAATAATCAGATACATTTTAGAAAATAAATACGTGAAGAAAATTGATAGCGGAGAACAAGGAACAGGATGGATTCGTCAAATTGCATGGAGAGATTTTTATAGACATATACTATGCAACTGGCCATATGTTTGTATGTTCAAGCCCTTTTTGTTGGAGTATGATGATTTAAAATGGGAGTATAATAGCGATCATTTCTACAAATGGTGCCAGGGTAAAACTGGGTTTCCAATTGTTGATGCGGCAATGAGGCAGCTAAATCAAACGGGCTATCTACACAACAGATGTAGAATGATAGTTGCGAGTTTCCTTTCCAAACATTTATTGATAGATTGGAAATATGGCGAGTATTATTTTATGGAACACCTAATTGACGGGGACTTTGCTTCTAATAATGGTGGTTGGGGTTTTAGCTCAAGCACTGGTGTTGACCCTCAACCATACTTTCGAATTTTTAACCCTTGGCTTCAATCGGAAAAGTTTGACAAAAAAGGCAGGTATATCAGGAGGTGGGTCCCAGAGTTGAAAGATATACAAGATGAAAAGGGTATACACAATCCATACGAAAAGGGCTATGGTCATATTGCAGAAAAAAATGCTTATCCAAAGCCTATTGTTGACCATAAATACTGCCGGGAGCGAGCGTTGAATAGATTTAAGGATGCCAAATACTAATTATCAACCCAATAATATTCGTAGTCATGTGTTCTTCGTTATTAGTATTTTGGACTACCATCACTATGTATTGCTATATATGAAAAAGATCATTAAATAAAAGATATCTTTAGAAAAACTAGGATTATTGGGCAGAGTACAATATAAAATCACCATTTCTTTTTATGAGAAATTCTTGTGTACTATATCAAATAAAGTTGTACTCATTTTTCAGTCTGTAATCTCGCAACAAATTGCTATAATTGAACACCCGCTAAAAGTTTGAGTAGGGTAGCTTCGCGTTGAAAAATTAACAAAGGCTTTGCTTCCCCATATTTGCGATATATACAGGTACTCCGCTATGGAACGGGGATCTTCCATTAATTCAGTTGTGAAAAATTCAGTAATAATTAGGCTCAAAGAATAAGAAAGGAAATGATAATGTGTAAGTACTAAGGGATCATTCGGTGTCTTATTTAATAAGATTATTTATAAACGGATACTTTCGCTTTACAGTTTTGCTATATTGAATATAAAAAATAAGAATGTCGTTTCTAAAATTTTTATTCAAGAACAATGATCTTGGGGAGGAAATCCCTGGTACTATTCACTTAATTGATGTAGACCAAATGCCTGGTATTTCTAAAGTTGATTCAGAAAAAGGGAACCAGAACATCATGTTGCACCCTCGGCCAAGTTCCAATCCAAATGACCCTTTAAGATGGCTGCATAGAAAGAAAAAACTGCAACTATTCCTTCTTACGTTCTGGGCTTTTGTTCAAAATATATCTTCGGTTTGGACGGGACCGGTATATGATACGTGGGTGGATGAGTTTAATTGCACTTATAACCAATTGAATATTGCGTCGGGGCTTGTATTTGTTGCTATTGCGGTGGGATGTACTACTCTACAGCCAATTGCGCTAAAGTATGGTAAACGTATTGTTTACATTGGCTGTACTGTACTTCAAATTATTGGAAATATAGTTTATTCTCAGGCACATAATGTGGAAACTACATACATTGCTTCGGCTCTAGTTGGTTTTGCTGCAGCACCTATATACTCTTTAGTTGAAATATCGAGTACAGACATCTTTTTTCAACATGAAAGAGCCGAAAATATCTCGTGGCTAGTGCTTGCTCTTCAATCCGGTTGCTCTTTGGGCCCTTTAGCCGCTGGATTTATCACTGAAAGTCTTAATTGGAGGTGGTGCTGTTATATTATGGTGATAATATTTAGTGTTTTGCTTATCATTCAAATATTTACAATGGAAGATAGCACTTTTCAAAGAGAAGAATCGCCAGAGGAATTAGAAGAAAGTATTGTAATGCAAATAAGGAGCCATGAATCTTTCGCGAATAGTATTCAACATGAACTATCGAATCAAAATAAGAAAAGAGATAATCACACATTGCATATTCAATCTGATATCCAGGATGTAGATCCTTCAATACCTAAGAGAACATATTTACAGAGGCTTCGTTTAATAGAGAATGAGTTTAATGATCCTACTCCTATTATTGTTACATTTCTTAAACCTTTTTACCTAGTCTCATTTCCTATAGTTGTTTGGTGTGGTATTTTACAAGGAATACAGCAAATGTGGCTAACATTGATGACATGTACTCAATCCGAATTTTATTCTAGTGCTCCGTATAATTTCAGTTCTTCTATGGTTGGATTAAGTAACTTGGGTCAACTTGTTGGTATCATCGCTGGTATGGCATATGGCGGGAAATTTGTTGACTGGTTAACTATTCAATTGGCTAAGCGAAACAACGGTATCATGGAACCAGAATTTCGCCTTTATTCTATGGCTTTTCCAACTCTCATTAATGCTGCTGGCATACTAACGTATTGTCTAGGGCCAGCGTATAAAGCACACTGGTTTTTGTCTGTTGGAGTTGGGCAATGCTGCTTGGGGTTCGCAATGGCTTCAGTTACTTCGATTTGCTATACATATTGCTCAGACAGTTACCCAAAGTTGGCTGGTGAAGGTATTGTGTTCATATCCTTTCTTAATAATTCATTAGCCACAGTTTTCACATTTACAATTCAGTCTTGGATAGATAAGGATGGCCTTAAGCTCATGGCATGGTTAATGTTTATGCTCAGTCTTATTCTAAATGGTAGCTTTATTGTATGGGTATTTTATGGTAAACGGGTTAGAAGATGGACTAAAAGTAAATATTACCAATTTTGTGATGATACTGGTAATCATCCCTAGACAACCATATGCTTAGATAGACCAACAGTTAACATTATGAATTTGCCCGACCTTTTAAATAAGTACGACTTAAATAGAGATTTATAAACATTTTGATGTACGGAATGCTCAATATATAATGATATTTCTAATATTCTGGTTGCGTCATACAGTGCATATGAACTCAGTTAGATTAACCAGACTACCAATGTCAAAGAACTGAGTTAAATGGCTTATTCGAACATTGCTTGATATTGTATTTATGAATACTCCCAGATTATATCATAAATATTGTCTTCGAGTCGATGGAGACATCACTATGAAGCGTCTTCTACGATGAAATAATGCATATGTAGAGAATATCGGTAAACGCACGTTGTACTGCAATGACAGTTATGACATATGTCAAAATTCCTTCTATATTAACGAAGCATCTTTAGCAGTTTAGTCCATTTATTTACCGAATAATGAATAAGCAAACATATAACGATTTAAGTGGCCGTGAAATTACTCACACCGATGAGGATGTGGCAAATGCTCCTCATGATCAATCACGAAGTACACTGTCTGAAGCGGCTATGAATGAAGAAGAGCAACAACTAACTGACTCTGAAGGAGAAGATGAATTTATCAGGCGCCACGGTCATATTGACTTCCAGTATATCAAAAAGCCTAAAGATGCAGTGTGGTTCATTAGGCCTCATGCCCTTAATTATTTCAAAGATGGTGTTCTATATAGGACTAAGGGAGAGAGAACATCAGCTAAGACAGAATTATTTTTAGATTTGATGTATGTTGGAATTATTAGTAATTTGGCAGGGCATGCGACAGAGAATGCTAGTGGAGGTGCTTTATTGATGTACATTTTGCTTTTTGTCCCTGCATGGGTAGTTTGGGCTGATATTAAAGATTTTACGAATTATTACTACAACGAAGACTTGTCACAAAAGGTATACATTATTTGGATTTTGATACTTTTAACTTTATTTGTGAACTCTTCTGGTGATGTCCTAAATGGAATTAAAGGAGCTGCATTTACCATAGTCCCATATATACTTTGTCGAGTTTCGTTGGCCATTTCATTGCTAATTTACTCCTTGTATATTCCAGAGCACAGAATGCAAATGAGGATTTACAGCGTGTGTATCTTTGTTACTAGCTGTATATGGACACCTGTTATTTTCATCCTGACCAGAGCAAAAATTGGAGTAACGATCGCTGTTCTTTTTCTAGAACAACTTTCTTTCACCGTGGTTTATCATCCCCAAACGAAAAGGCTTTTAAAACTAACGACTTCTACGGCATTGAATATAGAACATGAAGTTGAGAGATTTGCCACGTTTGTGACTATCGCTATTGGTGAATTTTTATACAAGGTTGTAGCCACAAATCCTTTGGGTACCGGGTTTAGCTCTAAGTTTGCAAGAGGTACGTTTTTGTTATTAATTGCTTACATCTTGTTTTGGATTTATAATAATGGTTCTAATTCAAAGAAAGCCACGCATGCATTAAGAAATAGTGGGTGGACAGCCATAACATGGATTTATTGTCATCTTCCTTTAGTCGCAAGTTTAGTTCTTGGAGCAGATGCAGGCGGGGACTTAACAGCTTTGGATATTACTAGTTTATCAAAGCACCAAGAGGGGCTGGCGTTTGAAAGAAGGTCAGAGGAAGAACCTAATATGTATGCACTTTCTTTTTTCTTTACAGGAAGTATTTGTGTATCTCTATTATGTATGTGCATAATAGGACTAGCAGATAAAAATGAAGATCCGCCAAATTTGCATATTGTTTCTCGATTCTGGAGGGTTATATGGAGAGCACCCATAGGCATCATCATAGTGTTTTTGAGTTTTGCCGAGCTTGATTCCACGTTACTAATGGGTATTGTGACTATCTTGTTAGCGGTGCTCCTAGTATACGAAAGTGTTGTATGTACACCCCAGGATTGCATTAACTACCCTCTAACACGTAACAGATCCTTAACATTAGAATAAAGAATAAAGTATGTTAAATTAACTTCTGGTTCCTCCTTATCTTTAACATATTCGACTATTTCATAATGAAGAGTATATTAAAGTGAATGAGTATACTGAATTACTATTAATAGATAGTCTGAACTATCACAATATATCTTTCCAGACTTATTTCTCAACAGTTAATACTTAGTCGGATAAAAAAAAGGTGGGTATAAAATAATTTTACGATAAAGTGTCATAAAGACGTTAGACATTTGGTGACAAAATTCTATATTTGCATTATTCGAAGAATTGTAAGGATATTAATAAAGACAGCTAACGTAGCGATAATTATAAGAAATTCAAAATTATTGCCTGCTCCGTATATTTACAGTTATTTTATTCTATCACATGAGCACTTTCGTGGATTATGTTCCATGAACTTTATGAATACTGGACGATACATTGTTTAATGTATCAAACAGTAAGAGTAACAATTAACGATGCAATAATAAGGCTGATAAAAAACATGGATTTGTCCAATCTTTGATTGCCTCCACTGGTGTCTTTACCTTTAAACTTAGTAGCATCAAGATAGATTCCGTTTTCATCTAAATATTCGTTGACTCCAAGAGGAACATTTTCTACATATGTAATACCTTCAGTGTGTGAGGTTTGCCCACTTGGCCATATTTTAGCCGTTTGAGAATACCATCTTTCCACTGACCATTTTGGGACTAAATGGTCGATTTGACTGGCAGCGATAAAAATACCATAAGGCTCGACTACTAGATCTGCAGATTGTGGGACAATTGCAGTAAGAGTTTGAATTGGAAAGCTATGTGAGTAATCTTCATTTGAAGTTATGCCGCCAATAGTAACTGTGGTAGTTTCGTATTTCATTATTTAATGAAGAAAAATAGAAAAAAATTAAAATTATATGAAAAGTTTTCCCTATGCAGTGATTTAGATGTTCCGCACTAAATAATTACCTTTAAGATGTCAGTCATATTTGTATACACATAAGAATCAATTCCTTTGGATCACAAACATATAAAGAAAAGCATGAACCACCAAAGAATCCACAACCAGGCCATCTGGAACACTTAATCAATACCCTCAGAATTAGGGACTTTTCTTATATTTCAAACATTTCGATATTCAATCGACATTCAAAGATTTACTAGGGTTATTCGCCGCCAAACACGGACTTATTCAATCAAAACTACTCCCGTAACACATTTACTGGAATACAAAAAATCTGCGCATTTTTAACTCAAAAATAGACACATACAGACTTATCACAAAATACGGATTAATACAAAACTAATCGCACCTAATAATAACTATTGGAACATTTTATCAAATTAAAATCATCACACATGGCTGAGAATACCTTTAGAATCCTTCCTGTGTCCTGTTTTCCTCCTTTGATGATCTTGTTTGTGATCCAGTTTGTGCCCCTAGTTTTCGTATGTCGTGAGTTTGTCCAGAAATGTGTTTGTTCCGTGTATGATCGGTTGTCTAAATTTTTTTTTTTTTTTTTTTTGAAGTAAAGGGGGATTTTCATGTATATAAAAGTTAAAAATGCCATTTGACTCTTCATTGTTATGATGAAGAGTACGTTTGCCTTATAGTTATACAAGATATCATTAGATGTTTCCAGAGAAACATCGGAGAAATAATCCCATTCTTGTAGGAATTCTTGCACTATATAAAGAGGTCGCTAGAGCTCCTAAGATACAGAATTTATATAGAGATTAAGTAAATTATATATTATAATTAACACTGATGAACTGATTAACTAAACCTGACTAGTATATGTATTACTACGATCGTAAGTTATTTTTTCACATTTTAATCAACATATTATTTGTTTCAACCATCAGCTACTGTGTCTCAAAGTATATAAGTGATGTTATCATTTATCCGCCAGACAGTGACAACATTTGCTATGATAATTGTATCCGTTCGTGCAGTGTGACCTGCAGTATTCGTAGTAGCGGCAATAACTTGTTACCAGTTACGTGCTAGAGGAGGTATAATGATAGATATCGTTGCCGTAGGAGCATCGACGGGTGGTATGCTGATATGGGATACTGCTAATACATGTGTAGAAATGGATGGTACTAGATTAAACTGAAATGCGCTCAATCAGTCGTGGCAAGCACATTCGGTATTGTGTGGGCAGTTGCAGCATATCAGTATACTGGTAATGCAGGTCGTCCACAGGCTAACGGTCACGATGCCATTAGGAGAGACATTCGATTCTTCGAACATGTTAATCAAGTGTTGCCAGGTATTATAACCGAGGGGCCAGCTCATGTTGACGCGCTTGCAGCACAGCAAGACGGGGATAACGATTATATCTTTGAATTTAACACTGAGGGATTAGATGTGATACACGTTGAATTACTTAAGAATGACAAACGTGATGAAACTATCGAGTACAGTAATAAGACTCAACCAGCCGACTTTTATCTAGCTAGGGCTGGTAATAATACGTACCACATAGTACCTGACCCGTATTACGAAGAGAAAGTGAAACGGGGTGGGGATACACTGGATATAATTTGTTAAGTGGGGCGATAACGGTGTACGCGAATTCAGATCCAGTTGCCTCATGGGACGACGCAGTTAATTGGGCTAACTACTTGTTTGACGATCCCCTTAAACTATACGTAACTTTACCAAAAGTGATGAAGGACAATTACGGCACTGATTCAGATGTATGGGGTTTCGCATTAAGTAACAAGGTAGATGGGAGAGATGCTCAGTTTATAATGAGGGCTTACCACAATGTCTGGACTGACCGGGAGTCAGGATTAAATTAGTGTTTTGGGGCATATCAGTCGAATTGTGGTGGCACTAGGAATACTGGTGGCATCAGCTTGTGTCAAAGTTGAAATTAAAATAAATATATATATATATAAAAATGTAATAAAAACACTAGACGTTAGTGAAAAACATACCGTCTTTCTTCTTAACGATAGAGACAACTGATTGATATTATATGGATAAGAAAGACGGTATGTTTTTCACTAACATCTAGTTTTTTTTTTTTGCAATGAACAGTTTCTCATTCTCACGACGTTGGTAATCTAATATTTATCTTTCTTTAACATCAAATTGAAATTACCAACAGACTCGAAATAGACTTATTAATATAAACACTTAGTCACATGTAGATATTACGGGCCTTTGAATAAGCTATTTTCTCAGGATCTAATGCAAATAATATAGTAGAAATACATAATCTGAATGGAAGGTACCAACGATTATCCAAGATTGTGACCTGAAAATAGGTGCTTATACAGCTCCATGTGTAAATAACTATATTTTACACTTAGCATTAGTGGATCTTACTGTATTGTTATTTAATAAAAATAACACTTCCTTAGGATTTAATAAGGTGTGCAGAAAATAAGGTTTCCGCGCTTAAGCGGAAAAGAATAAAATATAGCCGGCCATTTATTTTCAATTATGCGAACGGGTGCACGGCTATGAACCTCGTATCATTCTAATCTCTTGAGATCCATTCCTATCTTGAGAGACGATTCAATAAAAATCCACAAACTTCATGATTTACTAGTTCAATATGTATTAATATGTAGAGTAATAGATAATTATTAAGAATACAGAAAATTGCAGTGATGAAGATACAGCGTAGATCTGTCATTCTTGCTATAGTTAATTCCGTTCCAAAAAAAGTGATTTAGCCGGAATATGGTTTCGGATATTTTTTTTTTTTTTAGATACTCGATTTATAAATTGAAGATGGTATAACTAATTCTAGAAGAAGAAAATTTTTATAGATAATAGCACTATGAGCATGCAAAGTTCAAAACTCCCGGGTGATTCTCAAACTTCCATAGATGATACAAGTATCAATAGTGAAAAAGTTCATGCATTCGAGGGACATAATGCGGATGTGCAACCAGTGATACACCAAAGAAGTAATAGCAAAATTGAAGACAGAGAAAGCTTGAGCAAATTGATTTCCAATAATAAAGGTGTCGAAAGAATAGTTTCAGAACTAGAAGAAGGTGCTGGTAAATTAGGAGGGTTAGAAGAACCATATGATCTAAAGAGAATTGAAACTCACCCGGATCCAAACTCAAGCTTTAATGAGAAAGATCCGTGGAAATATCCTATTGATCAAGAAACGGGTCTAAGACTAGTTGAGTTTGTCCCTGGTGATAAAAAAAATCCATTAAACATTTCAAAAACTAGAAAATGGTTTTATACCTTTCTCTTAGGTATAATTTGTTTTGTAGTTGCTTTAGGGTCTGCGATTGTAACTGGTGATATCAGTGGACCAAAGGAATATTTTGGCGTTACCGAAGAAGTAATTATTTTGGCTTCGGTTACTATGTTCGTTCTTGGATTTGGGTTCGGGCCTTGTTTATTTGCACCACTCTCAGAAGAAATAGGTAGACAACCTGTTTATGTGGGAACATTATTCCTAGGCGTCATATTCATTATTCCTTGCGCATTAGCTCAAAACATTGCAACATTAATCGTTTGTAGATTGATTGATGGCTTAGCGTTTTCTGCCCCTATGTGCCTTATAGGTGGTTCATTAGCAGATATTTGGGAGGCATCAGAAAGAGGAGCTGCAATGGCTGTCTTTTCAGCCGCCCCATTTTTGGGTCCAGTCATAGGTCCAATCTTCGGTGGTTTACTTGGTGATAATGCCCCTACCTGGAGATGGATTTATTGGTGTTTTTTAATTATAGCAGGATTTTTTTACGTTATATTTGCATTAGCGCTTCCTGAAACTCATCATAACACTATACTAAAACGCAGAGCAAAAAAATTAAGAAAGGATACTGGTGATGATAGATACAGAGCAATCGCCGAATTGAAGATTAAAGATTTCAAACAAGTCTGTAATGAATCGCTTTTACGCCCATTCATATTATTAAGTGAATTAATTATTTTCTTGATAACTTTGTATATGTCGGTCATCTATGGTTTGTTGTATATGTTTTTCTTTGCTTATCCTATAGTGTATGGTGAAGGTAAGGGATGGAGTGATTCTATGGTCGGTGTTATGTTTATTCCAATCGGTGTCGGTGTGGTCATTTCTTCTCTTATAGCTCCATTTATCAATCGAGATTATAACAAAAGGGCTCAAGTATATAGAGATAAAGGAGAGTTACCACCAGCTGAATTAAGATTAATTCCAATGATGTTTAGTTGTTGGTTCGTTCCTGCTGGTTTATTCTCATTTGCATGGTCGTCTTATCCCTCTGTTTCGTGGGCTGGTCCGTGCTTTAGTGGTCTTGCCGTCGGTTTTGGATTCACTTGTTTATATAACCCAGCGAACAACTATATTGTTGATTCATATCAACACTTCGCAGCAAGTGGCTTAGCTGCAAAGACGTTCGTCAGGTCAATGTGGGGTGCTTGCGTCCCATTATTTACTATTCAAATGTACCACAGATTGGGCTATGAATGGGCATCATCATTAATGGCATTCATTTCCTTGGCATGTTGTGCAATCCCATTTGGATTCTACTATTATGGAGCAAGAATTAGAACTTACTCAAAGTATGCCTATTCCCCAGACTCTACAAATTAATCGCACTACTCTTGAAATATCGTTGAATATCATCATCATACCATAATGGGATTCTATATTTCCTAATTCATAACTAATTATATTTATTTAATGCGCCATTGACCAACAAAATATATTAATAAAACTTTTTCTTTAGATAATTATATAATAGTTCACTTGCATATGATTATATTCCAATTACTAACACTCAATTGACGGTAGGATTTATTAATTTTGGATAATAAATGTTAACAAGATGTAAAGCAATGCAAAAACGAAAACTAGTGGTGCGTCTCTCAAAAAGTATGTTCACGAAAGGAAGACATAAACTATAGTCCACTAATAATATTCTTTATTTATTTTTTTGATATTAAATCATTTTGGAAGAAAGTCGTAAAGTTATAAATTTTGATGTAATATGGATACTGAGGTGTTGCTTTATGGAATGTATGTGTAAGAGAAGAATAATTCTAGCGGCTAGGGTAATGAAAATAGAAATGTGCCTGTTTATTTAGCTAATAGACTGGCCAAAATAAGAAAGTCCTTACTGAGACTTGCTAAATACAAGATGGGAAATAATTAAAATGCTATTACACAAAAGAACCTAAAGAGCCTAACCTGATGATGTTAGACGAAATTAGTTGAATTAACTTTTGTTCAATATTGCTCAGATTCATGTTAGTATCTTCGGCCTTATATCAATTTGGAAGTATAGAAGGTTTTTGCAACCACTTTCCCTCCTTCGCGCAGACATAAGCCTTGTTTACTAAGTCTCTAAAGAAAAAATTAAGACAGTATACAAAAATAAACAACTAAGACAACAAGCATTTAATATTTATAATGCAATGTATCTAATATTCGAGAAAGGCGAATAATTCGATATTCCTAAGGATGTTTCAAGGTAATTATTTACTATCAATACGAAATTGCGCTCCCTCTTTCTCTGAAAGAGAACATGGTTATACTACTGAACGGTATTTATCTTTCATAATCAGGCGAAAAATAGAAAGTTCTTCAGTTCATTTCGAATTATTTCGGAATATATGAATAAGGGAACATCACTATCTCATAGAGTTGTTGTTTCAAGTTCTATAAGAACAAGTGAAATAAAAATTGTCCTGAGAACACACCTGGATAACATAGATATATCCTGAAATATCTCCCATGTTAATCTCGAAGATGATAATTATTCCAAAAGTTAATAGCTTGCTTCTTAAGATTTTACCCACTTACAGCTTCATTATTTCCGAAAATAAATAGTTACATAATATTTCAATAACATTATATAACTACATACCCATTCTCTGCTAATAAATCACATCTGCTTTCAACAAAGGGCAACATTTCATATGTATGAATTACAAATCTGCCTAAATAGTCAAGTGAGAATAGCTTCCGCAACTTTTTACTAATCTTTTTCAATTACGTTACATACAATTCTAGTACGGCCGAATTTAATTTTACGTGATTAACTTGTCTAAATTAAGTAGAAGTTTGAAATTGTTGCTTATTCATAGAAATTAAAGATATATTATAACGCAAATGAAATAGCATAAAAACCATTTTAAGTTCAAATATGCTTAGTCTAATCAACGTTCAATTAGCTAAGCCTCATTTATCGAGGATCCAGGTTTAGTAAGAACTGTTTTAAAAGGTTAGCTCAAAGAAAATATAGACTTTTAATTGCTATAATAAATGTAAATGAGAGATGGAAAAAAAGTTTAATGTATTTTAATTACAACGAAATTCTAGATTATGATGTACAGAGAGTAACATATAAACAGTTATATGGTGCTCAATTAAGAAGACGACTTAATTAGGGCATCTAATTTTTAATAGGCACATTTTAACGAAATGAAAATTTTCTGTTTATATATGTAATACAAAGTAGTCGAACTAAACTGTATTACAAACGACTAGCTCATTTTTGGAGGTGAGAGTTGCACATTTGCTACTGATACTAGTAGGTTTAATTCTTATAGTTTCCAAGCCACGAAATAAATCTCAATTCAATCTACATAAAAGTGCAGCAATTAGAATATTCTAGCAATAAAAACATCACTTCTGGAATTATTCCTTCATTAAAATACCCTGGTGAAGACTAGATTACAATCACTATAGTACCCTATTATGTTTGCACCTGCCGATTTAAAATATAATAGCATCCTAGCCCTTGTTGATTGCTTGCATCGAACAAAGCAGTAGTGTTAAACGAAAAACTATTTAAGTCTATCATTTTGTCTTACTTGAATTCGATTATTCTTTCGATAAATCGCTCAATAAATTCGAAGCTCAATGAAATTTAACACTGTAATTTTAATCTGTTTAGCTGCATTAGCTACTAGTCAAAATACCAACACCATTACTGAAAGCCAAGCGGAGGTTGTGGTAAAGAAACAGCTTGATTCAAGGTCTTTTGGATTAAAAGATTTTTTATCCGATCATATGCCATGGTCGGGCAAAAAACACTGGAAGGACCACGAGGGTAAGGAACACTGGAATGATAAGGATGGTAAAGAACACTGGAAAGATCACGATGGTAACGACTGCTGGAATGAC